TGTTACGGGGTGAAAAACGTTTTCATGGGCACACAAATCCAAAATAATGTATGCATTGCAAAATCGAATGCTTCTAATCGAAAGAGTCACCTTACCTACTTAAAACCTAAATCAATACTGTCATTAACGTGGTTCTTCAATAATTATGCATAATACTTGTTGGAACGCGCATTTGGTGTCCAGCTGATTAGTTACGCCGTGATATTTTCACACATCCTCATCTGATCCAGGAAGGAATTTTCTGAATGACTGTCAAGTGACGAACAGCTGTTGTGACGTCGCATGCACTAACTCCTCATGTCCGCCAGATGCACCAAACGCATTGCGTTCCGGCGGAAATCATTAATTGTCAATGGAGCAGTCTGCAATGCTACGTTGGGGATGCCTCACTAAGCTGCGGTGCGTTCTGTGTACCGCATGCGTTCAATATTTTCAACTTGTGCGTTGCTTTACCGTGCGGTGGTACAAACGGAATTACACACACACTACAACTAGCTAGCTTTTAGCTAGTTGAGAAGTGAAGCACATGTACCTCAAGTACGGAAAATGTGGGCAAGACATCCAGAAAAACAAAACGCATATGCATCTGGTGGACAACGGGTGTAACACCTCGATCACACCTACAGGGTCATTGAGATTTGGTATACCAGAAGTACACTCATTTCCAATGGAACGGTGCATATGCCTTGCAACATTGCATTGCAGTGCATTCTGTGTTGAGCATACATTGGATAAATCGAACGTATACATCAAATTGTATGCATAGACGGCTTGACAGAAATGGTAGCAGAAGGTGAATGTTGAACTTTGTTGCACACATATCCAGATGATGCTGCGTGCCATTTTGCGCAAAGACACAGTAGGTGTGTTCGAGGCGCAAGTGCTGGAAAAAAGGTGTTCACAGGGAATGTCCAGAATATTTTTCTGTCTCATTCATTATGCCGGTGAAGACAGTTGTGCCTGGATCCACGTTGGATCTAATATCCCTAGCACATTGATGTTGATCATCTGTTGTCGTCTTGATTTACAGCAGGGTCTCGTTAGATTTAACAGAGAAAGCATCAAGGTAATGTGTTCATGTTTTCAGATGTTTTTGTGCCTCAGATTGGACACAGAGTCTACTGTGCCCAATTGTGTAGGATAGACTATTGAACAACACCCAACTCTATTCCTATTAATTATTCTGGATATAATGACAACAAGTTATATAGTCTAGTGGGCTTATTGACAATATGATCTGGTAATGAAATAACATGACAAATGCATGGAGCTTGAAGTAGCCTACTTGAACTTGAATTTGGAGCTCAGAAATTCAAGTACTGGAATATGCCTACCTTGAAAATCAGTTTGGTGTTTGAAAAGTTATTGTAATTATTGTAGCCAATTTATAAGTTCTACTGCTCCCTTATAATGTGATTTCATTTTTGATCTGTTTTTGTGAGATATCAGTTTTTTTGAGATATCAGTTTGTGTGAGATATCAGTTTTTGTGAGAGAGGCCACTTTCGTTTTCTTCCCACAGCTTAATTTGAAGGGTGTTGCACTACTCTGTTGTGGTAAAACCACTTGCAGTTATTAGGAGGAGGACAACATCTAATGTTGGCTTCAACTTGGCTTTCCATACAAATCCTTCCATTGAAAAAGTTACCTGGTTTTTGGGCACTTTCTCAATATAAAAACAGCGATGGTGAGATTCAAATGGTGAGATGAATGCTACTGCTATTCATGGCTTTATTATGTGTCCCTGCGCCGGCCACATAGGCTACAGAAAAATCACCATGCATGCATCCAATCTATTTAGTCAGGCCATGTCCACATTATTCTCTCATATTTTACATTTTAGTCATTCAGCAGACGCTCTTATCCAGAGCGACTTACAGTTAGTGAATGCATACACGTTTTTTTGTTTGTTTTGTTTTATGTTTGTTTTTCCATACTAGCCCCCCGTGGGAAACGAACCCACATCCCTGCCGGCCAAACCCTCCCCTACCGAAGGACATATAGGACGTCCTATACATCCTATTGGACGACGCTGGACCAATTGTGCGCCGCTTTTTAGAATGTAATAATAATTTGAACATCATGTTTTGAAAAAATTCATTGGTAATAATCTACCTTTTTGACACCTGTTGCATGCTTTTTGGGGGTTCTATATTATGCCCTATATGTACAATTATATACATTATACAATTGTATAACGTTGAGGTCCTTGAAAATTACAATTAAGTGCTTGAATTTGACTTGCCAATGTCTGTATGAACCCTGCTTAAAGGATGTATAGTCCTAGGCCTTGTTGTTGTATAGGTGGAGTTATGGGCCAGTTTGCATATATTCACTTTTATTCCTCTAAGTACACATGTGGAACTGCATGAAAATCTTTTTTTGTTGACATTTTTATCCCAATGTCACACATTGGCCCCATTATTTATAGAAAACCCACATACACTTTGAATGCACTGTTCTATAGCTGTCAACCAACGCACGTGATGAGGACTTCAGCTATCTCAGGATTTGAATGGCAGATAATTTAAATTAAAAAAAAAAAAACATAAACAGTTGAAAGTAACTTCCTATTCTATAGATCCGTCTGACACTTGGCACAGGAAGTGAAGGGCTTGGCATTGCTCTGTCACACAAACACAACGCTCAAGAGTTCAAAGGTTACAAAACAACAAAATGCCTCCTGCAATATTGTCATGCAATATACATTTTGACACGATTGAGAAGAGAATAACGAAAGCTTTCAGTCTGTCTGGCAGTGAACGGGTTATTTTACGGAACAGGAATGTCACACTTCCATACTTTGGGAATGTGACACAGATTCTCAACCCTTCTGCCGTGTGTACTGCAGGTCAGGGGGAACCAGAGACCACGCTCCCCACCCCGTCCACAGTCCAAGAGAGGACGGTTTCCATCCAGTCCACTCCAGAGTCTATGGCCGTTTGTCTAATGCATTTCTATGGAGCTCACACATCCTAACTAGGTGCCACAGTACATTTCAATAAATAAACAAGATGAGCAAAAGCTTCAAGTGGATCCATTGTGTGACTCTTGCTATTAATCTACTGTATATACTACTATAGTGAAGCTGCTAGGTTTCCAATACAGGTATAGAGCAGTTAGTTCATTAATACAGTGTTGACACTGGTCCAAACATGACAATCTTCAATGTGATGCCACTGATCGCGCAGAACAAATCTAGCATTTCTATATCTACGACATTTCGGTGCCTGTTACTATGGACACACAGCAAAGGGTTATAATGATTTTGTATCTGTGTGGTGCGGTTGCCTGGCAACGCAAGTAGAAGAGCAGTTCTTGGAGAATTTCAAAATAAAATGTACATAAACTATGCAAAACAGTATAAAATAAATAAAAAAGTCTAACTGAAAGGTACAAAAATCCTAATAAAATCGCCCACTTGAAATTCATTCGAATGGTGTGTTGGTATTGTTAATCTGCTGTTTTTGGGGATGCTTTTGTGTTCTCTACGCATTGTCCAAATAGCTGGCAGTATGTTTCTCTGTGTGTGTGTGTGTGGTAAGCTGCATGTACTTGACTTCTACACACACCTCTAGTGATGATATGTCTTGTGTCTCACCGACCCTCTACAGGATTTTCTAAGAGCTGCACAGCTTGTTTCCATTAATTCATGTCTATTAAAGACGGCATGGGGTAGTAATAGCAGACAACGTTTAAAATGGCAGAGAATTTCATTTCAGTCAATAATTCCCACTGTGTCAAAACATTTATGCCAAAACGGCTCAACTGGTTTAACATAAGCGTAAAAATCGCCCTTTATGCCTACAAGGCCCATAATCCCCCAGCAGGGGGTCGGTAGCCATATTTACAGAGTGCCTCAGAGCCAATCGGTTTTGCTTGCCCGCTTTAAACTTCAAACATTTGATGCAGAGGGCAGCGTGTAATAAGAAGTTATTGGCACTAAAATATCCTTCATGTCAAAAGTATGCCCTCAGCAGGACAGAGAAGTTCATTTATCCTCCTCCCTTCTCTCTCTTTCTTTCCCTCCCTCCCTCCCTCATTACGTAATTCCCTCCCTCCCTCATTACCTCATTCCCTCTCTCCCTCATTCCCTCGTTCTCTCTCTCTGTTTGGAGAGGAGGAGTAGTGCATTCACCCTGATGCCTGGTGTCTGGCAGTGTTCAATGGGTTGGCCAGGTCTGTCTCTGTCTGCAAAGGCAAACACACCGAGGAAACAGATGGGTGAACACACACACTCTCACACATTGTCTCACATACACAGACCTCTTCCAAGCCACAGGGATTGTCTTTGTGTTTCAGTGTTTCTGTGGCAGTCCACAGCTCTGGAGTCAGTGGGAGGAGGGCCTTCACTATGGTAACTAACGTATAAGGCCAGGCAGTAACTGCTCTGAGATCAGTCCACCGAGCACAGAGAGAGACATTCCTTATCATCCTCACCAGGTCCACAGTACAGAACAGTACAGTACAGTACACCCCTAAACTTTAGGGTCCTTGACTTGTCATTTTCCTGTTCCCAGATTGTTCCATTCTAGCAGAGTGATCTTCACGTCTTTTGAAAAACAGACTACTGTTTCTGAGAAAAAAAACTAAATAAACTATAGCTATGAAATACAGTTTTCCAATGGACAGGGAGAAAAGAGAAGGAGAGAGAAAGGGAAAAAAGAGAGCAAGAGATACATACACTCATACTTCCACACGCATACACACACGTCCGCACATTCGAAGCACACACACTTTTCCACATGCTCACACACTTTTCCACATGCTCACACACGCACACACCCACCCACCCACACACGACAGAGCTGCTGCAGGGCATCTCACAGACAGGCAGCCAGGGCAACCAGGGGGGTGGGATTATACATGGATGGACAGATTGATTGAGAGCTTGGACACAGCAGTGATTAGACAGGTGGAGGTCCGGAGTAGCCCCTCCCTGGCGTGGTCTTGGTTGGGTCCGCGATGAGGACTATGGGATGAGGGCTATGGATCTGTCCCTTAGTCCACTGAGCCGGGGTGCAGGCTGAGGGCGGGGGGGTCCAGGCAGGTGGGGGAGTAGCTGAGGTGGGGTTCTTTGATCCACAGTAAGGGGGCACCGTTCTTGCCCTCCTGGGATTTGCTGTGTCTGCGGCTCTTGTAGCGTACCAGGAGCACGGCGATGAGGAGGATGCCGAAGATGGGGAACGGGTAGAAGAAGACAAAGTAGAAGAGAGAGTCGTTGGAGCACACCACCGACTGCAGGGTGGAGACTGTGGGGCGAGAGAGAGAGAGAGAGAGAGAGAGACAGAGAGAGAATGGGGGAAGAGAAAGAGAGATAGGGAGGGCAGAGAGAGCGAGAGAAAGGGAGAAAAATAAGGAGAAGGGCAAGGTAGAGAAAACAGAAAATTGGATGGGAGTGTGATATGGATGAAAAGATGACATCAATGGAGAGCATTCCATTATGGTGTAGTTTGATGTTTGTTTGGCATGCTAATAGCAGCCTATACTGTAGCTGACTGTCAGTACTAACTCAAACACCAGAATCATCAGTAAGATCAGCACAAGCCAATGCGCTCATATTTGGTCTCTAGAATAATAATGATACAAATAGGAGGAGTTGGTTGGCCAGGGCTGCTGTTAAACACTTTGTAACAAATGTATTTGTGAAAAAAAACACTTCTCTTGGAAAAACACTTTGCAGCTGAAATGTCAACAACAATAATAAGTCTCCATTCTATCGCATTGCCTTTGTTTTTCTAGCCCCAGGACATTGTCATTCACCATGTGGCACCATCTGTTTTATTTCTAAAAGGACTACAGAAATGTATTAATTGATTTACCCTGCTGGATCACGTTGACGATGGTGACGTCAGAGTTGTTGGTTGCCAGGCGATACCAGGCGTTGCGGGGGTTGAGCAGCCACTCCTCCACGTGACAGTAGTAGCGCCCAGCGTCAGCGGGTCGCGCCCCCTGGATGGTCAGACTGTAGAGGTCAGAGGTCGTCCTCTCAAACTGCAGGCGTGAGTTAGGCCCTGCCTCCTCGATTGGGCTACAGTTCCCGTTCCCGAACACGGCGTCGTGTCCGATGGAGAACACACAGTCCCGGTTTCCCTCTTCAACATCCCCCTGTTCTTCCTCCACTTCCTCTTCGGAGCGTGTGGAGGCGCGTTCCACGTACCAGGAAACGGAGAAGCGAGAGTCTCTGGAGGACTGGGAGGGAATGCTACAGCCCAACCGGATGGAACTGGACTGGGACACGGTGATATTAGACTCTGACTCCTCCACCTGTAACCGCACCTCTGCACAGAGAGAGGGGGAGGGGGAGGGGGAGATGGAGAGGGGGTGGGGGAGAGAGAGAGAGAGGGGGAGGGGGAGAGGGGGAGAGGGGGAGAGGGAGAGGGGGAGAGTGGGGGAAAGAAATAGAAGAAAATAACAATTTTATAAGAATTGTCCTGCCTTGAAACAGAAAACTTCACACTGACCGATAGATTTCGATGTGCTTCAAATCATTATGTGCTTTAAAACTTCAACACACATAATCCAAAACACAATCATAAACTCAGTAGATAGCAAAATCTCTTTCACTGTGAATTTTTACGTGCCCAACTACCCCCAAATGCCAAAACCCTCGAAAATTTGGCTAACAGTGTTACACCAGCTGTCCATGGCCTTTCCAGTCCTTGGTTCCCCTCCAGGGCCAGCCCTGCCTCTTAGAGGCTTCTAGCCCAGGGGGGAGAGTGTCTGTGTGGGATGGCTACACTCCTACAGGGCCTGTACACTGACCCAGTTATAACGAGTAAAAAAGAACTGAACTTAAAAAGACTGATAGATCAGGCTGTTCACAGACTGTAATGTTTCCTCTGGTTAAAAGAAGAGAGGAAGCAAGCAGCAGGCAGGCAGGCAGACAGGCAGACAGGCAAGAGAGCTGGCATCTCGATCTGGTCTTATCTCCCTGTTCCTCTGACACGACAGAACCATTTCCGTCTGACTTACTGGGTGTCTGCATTCTTTAGCACCTTAATGAGACACTCCTATCGGCCCCCTGGGAAATCAGGCCTGGAACTTTGCCACCCATCTTTATATATTTATATAGTTGTAGATGTATAACTATAAATGGAATAAGAGCTCCCTGATATGGTGTTTGATAATAATAACCCAATCCCCTGGTGAGCCTCGGGATCCCGAAGGCACATCTTACCTCTGAGAAATACAGAGGTGAGACACTCAAAGAAAAAACATGAAAGTGATTCACTGATATACACACACAAAATCATGCATATACACACACACAGTCACACACATGCACAAACACACACTTGGGTCGCTGTGAGTTGAAAGCGACAAATAGATATGTTTCTGCCATGTATGTGTCACAGGGTATGTATGTGTGTGTGTGTGTGTGTGTGTGTGTGTGTGTGTGTTTTTCAGCATTAATGTAATTGGGGGAGCAGTGTCCACTTTGCTGCTTAAATAAAAGATGAGTGCTGTTGCTCTCTGCCCAGCTTCAGCCCTTCTGTCTGACCTTCATGTTGCAGTCGGGCAGATGCCACGGACACCCGCACATTTCACCCTGCATTTATAATGCCCTGCTCACAGGACCCCTGGCATAACAGATGCTTTCAGAGATGTTACGGGGAGGGGAAAGGGGGAGTGGGGGTTACCCATGTTTGTCTGTAAACAGTCAAAATGTAGCGCAGATAGTCCGGAGTGTGAGGGGAGGAGATTGGGGGGGCATGGGGTGTAGACAGTAGGAGGGGGACTTGAAGGTGTGTAGAGGACATTGTAGGGTCGAGGTTATTGGGTTTGAGCTGAGTGAGGGTGTGTGGGGTTGTAGTTCTGTTGGGTAGTCAGGGGCATTAGGGGTTGGAGGGGTGGACAGGTGGGTTATGCCCCTCGGCTCTAGTGCCAGGCTATGCCCATCTGTGCCAGCTGGCACCAGAGCCACAACGTCCGCTCTGCCACCTGAGCTCTGCCCAGGGCAGGTGATGTGGTCATCAGAGCGAAACGGCCTTGAGGGCAGGGGGAGAGGATGAGGGGGAAAGTAGAGAAGGGGGGGGGGGGGGGGGGGGGGGGGGTTATTAGGCACAACTGGTCACTGTTAGGAGGTGACAACCACATGGGCCAAGAACAGCTACTGTTAACCACAGAGAAAGACACAGAGCGAGAGAGACATAGCGAGAGACAGATAGAGAGAGAGACAGAGAGAGAGGAAGGAGAGAGAGAGAGAGAGAGAGAGAGACAGAGAGAGAGAGACAGAGAGAGAGAGAGAGACAGAGAGAGAGAGACACAGAGACAAATAGAGAGAGACAGAGAGAGAGAGACACAGAGACAAATAGAGAGAGACAGAGAGAGAGAGACACAGAGACAAATAGAGAGAGACAGAGAGAGAGAGACACAGAGACAAATAGAGAGAGAGACTGGGCTCTTGCTATATCTTTTGGGAAGATATGTGTGGGAAGGCTGAGGAGTCCCGTGCCAGTTTGTACCAGGCTCCCTCCCCTGATCCCTCCTTCCCTCCTCTTCTTCCTCACCTGGCTGTCTGACGAGGACCTGTGTGAAGCCTGAGGAGTCCCGTGCCAGTCTGTACCAGGCTCCGTCTGGGTCTGTGAGCCACTCCTCCACCAGGCAGTAGTATGTCCCAGAGTCGCTGCTCTCTGCCCTGTTTAGTGTCAGCGCATACAGACGTGGCGACATCCTCTCCGCCTGTACCCGCCGCCTCAACCTCTCCTCGTCTGCGTACGCACCATACTCAAATGCGCCTGAGCGCTCGATCCTCAGCAGGAGCTCGTCGGCCTCGGCGCCCGTCGCGCGGCGCACGTACCAAAGCACGGCGTGCTGTGAGTCGGTGCTGGTCTGGGAGGCCACGGAGCAGTTGACGCGCACACGGCTGTCCTCCAGGTAGACCAGGGACTGGTTGGTCTTCTGCACACGCAGCTTAGACACTGTGGAGGAGTGGGGGAGGGAGGGAGGGGGTGAGAGAGGGAGGGAGGGAAAGGGACAGGTAGAGAGGAATGGAGGGGGAGGGGGTAGAGAGGGGGGGAGAGAGGGAGTGAAGTGGTGAGAGGGGAAGGGAGTGAGAAGAGGAAGGGAGTGGGGGTAGAGAGGAGAGAGAGAGAGAACAGTTATTTCAACAATAATTTCAGTATTTAGAGAAACAAGTGAATGCTGGTGACAGGTATACAATGCAATTTCTGTTTGACAGATGTGTCGAGGCTGTCTTCATTTCCTGCTGAACAGGAGAGGATATTAGTGTGTGGGCAGAGGACAGAGAGAAGGAAAGGATGGCTGTCAGTGTACGACAGAGAGAGGGAGGAAAAGAGAGGAGGCCTTGAATAAGTTGGGCGGGTGACAAGAAATGATGTACAGTGAGGGAAAAAAGTATTTGATCCCCTGCTGATTTTGTACGTTTGCCCACTGACAAAGAAATGATCAGTCTATAATTTTTATGGTAGGTTTATTTGAACAGTGAGAGACAGAATAACAACAAAGAAATCCAGAAAAACGCATGTCAAAAATGGTATAAATTGATTTGCATTTTAATGAGGGAAATAAGTATTTGACCCCCTCTCAATCAGAAATATTTCTGGCTCCCAGGTGTCTTTTATACAGGTAACGAGCTGAGTTAGGAGCACACTCTTAAAGGGAGTGCTCCTAATCTCAGCTTGTTACCTGTATAAAAGACACCTGTCCACAGACGCAATCAATCAGATTCCAAACTCTCCACCATGGCCAAGACCAAAGAGCTCTCCAAGGATGTCAGGGACAAGATTGTAGACCTACACAAGGCTGGAATGGGCTACAAGGTCATAGCCAAGCAGCTTGGTGAGAAGGTGACAACAGTTGGTGTGATTATTCGCAAATGGAAGAAACACAAAAGAACTGTCAATCTCCCTCGGCCTGGGGCTCCATGCAAGATCTCACCTCGTGGAGTTGCAATGATCATGAGAACGGTGAGGAATCAGCCCAGAACTACACGGGAGGATCTTGTCAATGATCTCAAGGCAGCTGGGACCATAGTCACCAAGAAAACAATTGGTAACAAACTACGCCGTGAAGGACTGAAATCCTGCAGCGCCCGCAAGGTTCCCCTGCTCAAGAAAGCACATATACAGGCCCGTCTGAAGTTTGCCAATGAACATCTGAATGATTCAGAGGAGAACTGGGTGAAAGTGTTGTGGTCAGATGAGACCAAAATCGAGCTCTTTGGCATCAACTCAACTCGCCGTGTTTGGAGGAGGAGGAATGCTGCCTATGACCTCAAGAACACCATCCCCACCGTCAAACATGGAGGTGGAAACATTATGCTTTGGGGGTGTTTTTCTGCTAAGGGGACAGGACAACTTCACCGCATCAAAGGGACGATGGACGGGGCCATGTACCGTCAAATCTTGGATGAGAACCACCTTCCCTCAGCCAGGGCATTGAAAATGGGTCGTGGATGGGTATTCCAGCATGACAATGACCCAAAACACACGGCCAAGGCAACAAAGGAGTGGCTCAAGAAGAAGCACATTAAGGTCCTGGAGTGGACTAGCCAGTCTCCAGACCTTAATCCCATAAAAAATCTGTGGAGGGAGCTGAAGGTTCGAGTTGCCAAACATCAGCCTCGAAACCTTAATGACTTGGAGAAGATCTGCAAAGAGGAGTGGGACAAAATCCCTCCTGAGATGTATGCAAACCTGGTGGCCAACTACAAGAAACGTCAAACCTCTGTGATTGCCAACAAGGGTTTTGCCACCAAGTACTAAGTCATGTTTTGCAGAGGGGTCAAATACTTATTTCCCTCATTAAAATGCAAATCAATTCATAACATTTTTGACATGTGTTTTTCTGGATTTCTTTGTTGTTATTCTGTCTCTCACTGTTCAAATAAACCTACCATTAAAATTATACACTGATCATGTCTTTGTCAGTGGGCAAACGTACAAAATCAGCAGGGGATCAAATACTTTTTTCCCTCACTGTAGAGAGGGAAAGATGAAGGGAGGAGGAGTAGGGAAGATTCAGTTTAATAGTGAGAGAGGGAAAGGTGGATATAGGGAGAGTTGAAGGAATCCAGGCTGTGGGAGCAAGAGAAGAAGAGATGGAGAGAGGAAGGAAGGAGGGGTAATAGACCTGTGAGAGTTAGAGGGAGGAAGAGGGGGAGATATGGAGTGCTAGAATAATATGTCAGGGAGGTACAGTAGTGGATTGGTTACCGGGACATCAGGTGTGACATTAGATTACATTAGCTACTGTTATTTTATTGTACTACTTTAATTATTTGTAATTATTTGTTATTTTTCTATTTTCTACTTCAGTTTATTTTAGTAAATACTTTCTTAACACTTATTTTCTTAAAACTGCATTGTTGGTTAAGGGCTTGTAAGTAAGCATTTCACTGTAAGGTCTACACCTGTTGTATTTGGCGCATGTGACAAATAACATTTGATTTGATTAGCTACAGGTACAAAAGGTATGACCGACCGGGTGTGTCTCAGAGTGGGAGAGTCTTTAGGAGGGGAAACACAGCCTGTGCACGTGCACACACACCTCGACTGAGCCCCATTCCATCACTACATGGGCCCTCAAATCCTCAAAAAGTTCTACAGCTGCACCATTGAGAGCATCTTGACTGGCTGCATCACCGCTTGGTATGGAAATAGCACCGCCCTCGATCACATGGCGCTACAGAGGGTGGTGTGGACAGCCCAGTACATCACTGGGGCCAAACTCCCTGCCATCCAGGACCACTATATCAGGCGGTGTGAAAGGATGTCTCGGAAAATCGTTAAAGACTCCTTCCATCCAAGCCATAGACTGTTCTCTCCGTTTCCGCACGGCAAGCGGTACCGGTACATCAAGTCTGACACCAACAGGCTCCTGAACATCTTCTAAGACTGCTAAATAGCTAACTAGATAGCTAACAAAATGGCTACACAGACTGAGTTGACCCTTGTATTTTTTCACTGTATCTATGCACACTCGCAGGCCAGCACACACTCAAGCACACTGACCCTCCAACACACACACAAACACTCACTCCATCATTTGCTCACACACATAATATGCACATACATTAATACTGACTCTACACACACACACACACACCCACTCACAAACAATAATATACGCTGCTGCTACACTGTTTATCATATATCCTGATGCCTAGTCACCTTACCCCTATACATATCTACCTCTATCACTCCAGTATCCCTGCACATTGTTAATATGGTACTGGAACTGACCCTGTATATAGTATGCTTACTTACTTTCTCGTATTCTTCTTATTTTTATTTCTTGTGTGTTTTTGTTCTACCTTGTTATTTTTAATATTACATTTTTATTGATTAATGCATTGTTGGTTTTAGAGCTTGCAAGAAATGCATTTCGCTGGACTTGAAACCATTGAAACATAACTAGCACATTAATAACTGACAAGTCACACATGAAAAGGTACGTTATCAATGTAAAATAAAACCAACCTCACTTGAACACTAGGGCATGAAATAGGACAAATCCACCACTAACACAGACAGAGGCTTGTGAGTATGACACACACACACACTTCTCTCTATTGCCTGTGCTAAGCCTTGATAGGACTGATTGCCTGGAGTCACAACCATCTGCCTACAGAATTTCACCCTTACTCACAGATTGGTGAATACGCTCAGATGGTCAGTGTGTGTGTGTGTGTGTGAGAGCTAGCATTTGGCCGCACTCTTAGGCGTATTTTCACAGCTAAAAGGCATCCCGGGCCCTCTCCCCTCTCCGCAGTGGCCTCTCCAGTGAGTTCTGAAATTAGTCATCATCAGCTGGCTACACACGGGAGAGGCTCGCTCTCTGAATGCTCGGAACAGCGACAATCACTCCAGCCAGAATTACCACCGAACCCCCCAGATCCTGGCAATCATTCTCCGGGAGAGAATAACCTCTGTATCTCCTGGAGTGTAACCTTGCTGGTTTTGATTGGCATAGGACAAAGCACAGCGCTGTTTTTCCCCATTTGAAGTTAGACTCCATTAGGAAAATGCATTGCATTGCATTCAGAGTCGTCGTCGGGTGAGGTTGTGTCTCTCTCTGGCGGGAGGTAAGCTTGGCTTATATGGCTTATATACATAGTTTAAGCTTTGTCGAGTAAAGCTTAAACTATGTATTTAGATTGTAGTTAGGTATTGTAGGTAGTTATCGTGGGTTGTTGTATGTCATTATTGTAGGTATTGTATTCGGCTGAGCCCGGTGAAGCACGAAGCTAGCTAACCCACTACCTGGACTAGCTAGCGGGTAGCTATTGGTAACTATTAGCAACTGTGGATAGTTGTTTCACGCCTGAGAGTACCTGTAATTACGCCAGCTAGCTGCCTACAATAATTACATACAATAATGTCTACCATTCAGCTGTTTTTCTAACCTCATTGTCTGAAGCGTTAACGTTAGGTAGTAAGTAGCTACTGTGCTCGAAATGTAGCTAGCTTGTTGCTACCTGGATACTACTAAACAATAGCTGGAACGACCTACCAAACAGATGCGAACTGGCTGAGTCAATTCAGTGGCTAGCTTTGCACTTGGCTAGCTAACAGTAGCTGCTAGGGGTAAGTTATAACCTACATTTGTGTTTTGTTTTTACATACTGGTAACCAGAGTCGTTCAAGGGAATTCGGGACATGGGTGACTAGTTAACGTTAGCTTGGCTCTCTCTGTGTGTTCGTGCCGTGGGAGGACGGGTTTCTTTGTAGGCAGAAAGCAATGGCTAGCTAGTATGCTAACTATTCTAGCTAACTAACTGGCTGAATAAGTTGACGACGGACTCGCTCAAGCTGTTGGGACTAACCCACAACGTTAGACACGGACACGAATGATCTGCTTGGCGTGTTGACACACTGGTGGTTTGTTGTGGCCGAGTATTGGTGCTAAACCGTGTTGTTGGAGTCCGGCATGCTAGTTGGCTGTGGCGTCATATGACTAGGTGCCCTGGACGGTTTTCACAGAAGAATACTGTAACAAGTTAGCTAGCTGAATAAACTAAGTTAGTCTATTCCTTGAAAACATTGATCCGCTGTAGTTTACAACAATTATAGTTTCTGAGGTGGAAGTTGGGAGAGTTATATTTGGGTGTTTCAGTGAAACGTAAGTGAGGGAGGCCCCGCTCTCTCGCTTTCCCAGATGTTTAGTTCATTTCATTCCGATCTCCTTTGCATTATTGTAGCCATTTTCTGTAGCCTGTCAACTATGTCTCTGTCTATCCCTGTTCTCTCCTCTCCGCACAGGCTATACTAACGCCTTACACCGCGTGGCTGCTGCCTCTCTAACCTGGTGGTCCCTGCACGCACGACCCACGTGGAGTTCCAGGTCTCCGGCAGCCTCTGGAACTGCCGTTCTGCGGCCAACAAGGCAGAGTTCATCTCAGCCTATGCTACCCTCCAGTCCCTCGACCTCTTGGCGCTGACGGAAACATGGATTACCACTGAAAACACTGCTACTCCTACTGCTCTCTCCTCGTCTGACCATGTGTTCTCGCATACCCCGAGAGCATCTGGTCAGTGGGGTGATGGCACAGGAATCCTCATCTCTCCCAAGTGGACATTCTCTCTTTTTCCCCTGACCCATGAATTCCATGCTGTCACAGTCACTAGCCCATTCAAGCTTAACATCCTTGTCATTTATCGCCCTCCAGGTTCCCTTGGAGAGTTCATCAATGAGCTTGACGCCTTGATAAGTTCCTTTCCTGAGGATGGCTCACCCCTCACAGTTCTGGGTGACTTCAACCTCCCTACGTCTACCTTTGACTAATTTCTCTCTGCCTCCTTCTTTCCACTCCTCTCCTCTTTTGACCTCACCCTCTCACCGTCCCCCCCCCCCCCCCCCCCCCCCCCTACTCACAAGGCAGGCAATACGCTTGACCTCATCTTTACTAGATGCTGTTCTTCTACTAATCTCACCGCAACTCCCCTCCATGTCTCCGACCACTACTTTGTATCCTTTTCTCTCTCGCCCTCCTCCAACAATACTCTCTCTGCCCCTACTCAGATGGTAATGCGCCGTCGCAACCTTCGCTCTCTCTCTCCCGCTACTCTCTCCTCTTCCATCCTATCATCTCTTCCCTCTGCTCAATCCTTCTCCCTCCAATCTCCCGATTCTGCCTCCTCAACCCTCCTCTCCTCCCTTTCTGCATCCTTTGACTCTCTATGTCCACTATCCTCCCGGCCGGCTCGGTCCTCCCTTCCTGCTCCGTGGCTTGACGACTCATTGCGAGCTCACAGAACAGGGCTCCGGGCAGCCGAGCGGAAATGGAGGAAAACTAGACTCCCTGCGGACCTGGCATCTTTTCACTCCCTCCTCTCTACATTTTCTTCATCTGTTTCTGCTGCTAAAGCCACTTTATACCACTCTAAATTCCAAGCATCTGCCTCTAACCCTAGGAAGCTATTTGCCACCTTCTCCTCCCTGCTGAATCCTCCCCTCCCTCTCTGTGGATGACTTCGTCAACCATTTTGAAAAGAAGGTTGACGACATCCGATCCTCGTTTGTTAAGTCAAATGACACTGCTGGTCCTGCTCACACTGCCCTACCCTATGCTTTGACTTCTTTCTCCCCTCTCTCTCCAGATAAAATCTTGTGACTTGTGACGGCCGGCCGCCCAACAACCTGCCCGCTTGACCCTATCCCCTCCTCTCTTCTCCAGACCATCTCCGGTGACCTTCTGCCTTACCTCACCTCGCTCATCAACTCATCCTTGACCGCTGGCTATGTCTCTTCTGTCTTCAAGAGAGCGAGAGTTGCACCCCTTCTCAAAAAACCAACACTCGATCCCTCTGATGTCAACAACTACAGACCAGTATCCCTTCTTTCTTTTCTCTCCAAAACTCTTGAGCGTGCCGTCTCTAGCCAACTCTCTTGCTATCTCTCTCAGAATGACCTTCTTGATCCAAACCAGTCAGGTTTCAAGACTGGTCATTCAACTGAGACTGCTCTTCTCTGTGTCACGGAGGCTCTCTGCACTGCTAAAGCTAACTCTCTCTCCTCTGCTCTTGTCCTTCTAGACCTGTTTGCTGCCTTTGATACTGTGAACCATCAGATACTCCTCTCCACCCTCTCCGAGTTGGGCATCTCCGGCGCGGCTCACTCTTGGATTGCGTCCTACCTGACCGGTCGCTCCTACCAAGTGGCATAGCGAGAATCTGTCTCCGCACCACGTGCTCTCACCACTGGTGTCCACCAGGGCTCAGTTCTAGGCCCTCTCCTATTCTCACTATACACCAAGTCACTTGGCTCTGTCATATCCTCACATGGCCTCTCCTATCATTGCTACGCAGACGAAACACAACTAATCTTCTCCTTTCCCCCTTCTGTTAACCAGGTGGCGAATCGCATCTCTGCATGTCTGGCAGACATATCAGTGTGGATGACGGATCACCACCTCAAGCTGAACCTCGGCAAGACGGAGCTGCACTTCCTCCCGGGGAAGGACTGCCCGTTCCATGATCTCGCCATCACGGTTGACAACTCCGTTGTGTCCTCCTCCCAGAGTGGGAAGAGCCTTGGCGTGACCCTGAACAACACCCTGTCGTTCTCCGCTAACATCAAGGCGGTGACCCAATCCTGTATGTTCATGCTCTACAACAATCGGAGAGTACGACCCTGCCTTACACAGGAAGCGGCACAGGTCCTAATCCAGGCACTTGTCATCTCCCGTCTGGATTACTGCAACTCGCTGTTGGCTGAGCTCCCTGCCTGTGCCATTAAACCCCTACAACTCATCCAGAATGCCGCAGCCCGTGTGGTGTTCAACCTTCCTAAATTCTCTCACGTCACCCCGCTCCTCCGCACACTCCACTAGCTTCCAGTTGAAGCTCGCATCTGCTACAAGACCATGGTGCTTGCCTACGTAGCTGTGAGGGGAACGGCACCTCCGTACCTTCAGGCTCTGATCAGTCCCTACACCCAAACGAGGGCATTGCGTTCATCCACATCTGGCCTGCTGGCCCCCCTACCTCTGCGGAAGCACAGTTCCCGCTCAGCCCAGTCAAAACTGTTCGCTGCTCTGGCACCCCAATGATGGAACAAGCTCCCTCACGACGCTAGGACAGCGGAGTCACTCACCACCTTCCGGAGACACTTGAAACCCCACCTCTTTCAGGAATACCTGGGATAGGATAAAGTAATCCTTCCTTCTCTCTGTGTGTGTGTGTTTTATTTTATTTATTTCACCTTTATTTAACCAGGTAAACCAGTTGAGAACAAGTTCTCATTTACAACTGCCACCTGGCCAAGATAAAGCAAAGCAGTGCGATAAAAACAACAACAACACAGAGTTACACATGGGATAAAACAAAACATACAGTCAATAACACAATAGAAAATCTATATACAGTGTGTGCAAATGTAGTAAGTTATGGAGGTAAGGCAATAAATAGGCCATAGTGCAAAATAATTACAATTTAGTATTAACACTGGAATGATAGATGTGCAGAAGATGATGTGCAAATAGAGATACTGGGGTGCAAATTAGCAAAATAAATAACAATATGGGGATGAGGTAGTTGGGTGGGCTAATTACAGATGGGATGTGTACAGGTGCAGTGATCGGTAAGCTGCTCTGACAACTGATGCTTAAAGTTAGTGAGGGAGATAGTCTCCACCTTCAGAGATTTTTGCAGTTCGTTTCAGTCATTAGCAGCAGAGAATAATAATATAATAATAATAATATGCCATTTAGCAGACGCTTTTGTCCAAAGCGACTTACAGGCATGCGTGCATATATTTTTTTAACGTATGGGTGGTCCCGGGGATCGAACCCACTACCCTGGCGTTACAAGCGCTGTGCTCTACCAATTGAGCTACATAGGACCACAAGGAATGGCGGCCAAAGGAGGTGTTGGCTTTGGGGATGACCAATGAAATATACCTGCTGGAGCGCATACTACGGGTGGGTGTTGCTATGGTGACCAATGAGCTAAGATAAGGCGGGATTTGCCTAGAAGAGATTTATAGATGACCTGGAGCCAGTGGGTTTGGCGACGAATATGTAGTGAGGGCCAGCCAACGAGAGCGTACAGGTCACAATGGTGGGTAGTATATGGGGCTTTGGTGACAAAACGGATGGCACTGTGATAGACTACATCCAATTTGCTGAGTAGAGTGTTGGAGGCTATTTTGTAAATGACATCGCCGAAGTCAAGGATCGGTAGGATAGTCAGTTTTACGAGGGCATGTTTGGCAGCATGAGTGAAGAAGGCTTTGTTGCGAAATAGGAAGCCGATTCTAGATCTAACTTTGGATTGGAGATGCTTAATGTGAGTCTGGAAGGAGAGTTTACTGTCTAACCAGACACCTAGGTATTTGTAGTTGTCCACATATTCTAAGTCAGACCCGCCGAGAGTAGTGATTCTAGTCGGGCGGGCGAGTGCAAGCAGCGTTCGATTGAAGAGCATACATTTAGTTTTACTAGCGTTTAAGACCAGTTGGAGGCTCCGGAAGGAGTGTTGTATGGCATTGAAGCTCGTTTGGAGGTTTGTTAACACAGTGTCCAATGAAGGGCCAGATGTATACAAAATGGTGTCGTCTGCATAGAGGTGGATCTGAGCTTCACCAGCAGCAAGAGCGACATCACTGATATACACAGAGAATAGAGTCGGCTCGAGAATTGAACCCTGTGGCACCCCCATAGAGACTGCCAGAGGTCCAGACAACAGGCCCTCCGATTTGACACATTGAACTCTATCTGAGAAGTAGTTGGTGAACCAGGCGAGGCAGTCATTTGAGAAACCAAGGCTATTTAGTCTGCCAATAAGAATGCGGTGATTGACAGAGTCGAAAGCCTTGGCCAGGTCGGAGAAGACAGCTGCACAGTACTGTCTTTTATCGATCGCGGTTATAATATCGTTTAGGACCTTTAGCGTGGCTGAGGTGCACCCATGACCAGCTCGGAAACCAGACTGCAGAGCGGAGAAGGTACAGTGGGATTCGAAGTGGACGGTGATCTGTTTGTTAACTTGCCTTTCAAATACTTTCGAAAGGCAGGGCTGGATGGATATAGGTCTGTAACAGTTTGGATCTAGATTGTCACCCCCTTTGAAGAGGGGGATGACCGCGGCAGCTTTCCAATCTCTGGGGATCTCAGACGTTACAAAAGAGAGGTTGAACAGGCTAGTAAATAGGGGTTGCTACAATTTCGGCGGCTAATTTTAGGTGTCCAGATTTTGCAGCTCTTTCAGAACATCAGCTTTCTGAATTTGGGTGAAGGAGAAGCAGGGGCATGGGCAAGTTGCGGGGGGACGGGGACGGGGGGGGACGGGCAGAGCTGGTGGCCGGGGTAGAGGTAGCCAGGTGGAAAGCAGTGTGTGTGTGTACCTGTTTTCCTACCTTATCAGGAACCCAATGTCCTGACAATGTAGGGAAAAAAAACTTTTTTCAGGTCCGGAATTTGTTAAAATGCTATTTTAAGCTTAAGGGTTAGGTTTAGGGTTTTGGGGTTAAGGTTAGGGTGGGTGTGTGTGTGTGTGTAGGGTGTGTTTGTGAATGCTTTGAGAATAGAGCATGCATATATAGAGGCCTGTTCAATCATGCATCTGTAACAAGGCCATACATCATGCATGGGTACTACCAATTCCCTTTACAGCTGGATTCTTACATTTATCTCTCCGTGTTTGTGTGTGTTTCAGACAGTCTGCCAATGTCTATGTTAAGTGTGTTTGCGTGTTCTGTGCGAGTGTGTTTCTTTAATGAGTCTCGTGGGTACCAAACCAAAGTAAGACAAATCCATAATTGGAAACACTTGTCATCTCCTTTCTGCATTAGCTGGTGTGTCACTCAAACCCTTATGTCTTTATGTGTTTTTGTGCACAACAGGCTCTGAGATTTGTTCTACTCTCCCTCTCAGCTCTGTGTGATCTCTCCCCAGTGCAAGAGATAGTGAGTGCTGCTGAGATCTCGTGTATGATTATGTCCCTCCAAGACCTCCTTACTCTTTACTACTGTCAGTGTAGGGGCGGATTCTTGGAATTGTGAGCCAATCAGATGCTAGATCGTGTAGATGAGGAAGAGATTATCATATTAGAAGTTAACCTTGAACATTAATGCTGCCATCGCACTTCCCTCCATGCTGGTTTCCAGGGCAACCCCATCTCCCAGGGCGACCAAGGGCGTGGCCAGAATACCTGAAGGAGTCCCGCTGGGTCTCCCAGTCAGGGAGCAGACCCAATTAAACGCTGCCAGAGAGCCCTGCACTGCCATCGCCAGGCACGATTAAACAAACAGTTAATTAACATTCAGCCCCTGACTCTCCAAAAACAGAACGAGTGTTCTCTATTTGTTGGAAAATGAAACGAGCAAGTCAACAAATGTGTGAAAAGCCTACTCCCTCCCTGAGTGTGTCCAGTTTGTCGTCAGAAGGCGTTAATTGTGGCGTGTTGCTGCAGAGCCCAGATAAAGCTTGCTTTTATTCCCCCTTATTTATCAGTGGCGTAAAGCACACAATGACCTTACACACAGCATCATTCACGGCAAGAAGAAAAGCAGGAAAACAAGCTTTATGACGCCGCGTTCCCTCTTCACGCTCCTTATAGCTATATACCACAGCGCGGCCAAGCGGTTTTTATTTGCTGAGCCACGTGTAGGAACAGATGAAAACGTCTTGGGGAGGTATTTTACGGTCCAGGGGGTGGGGAGGAAAGTGGACAGTTAAGGCTGTGCTCTGCAGTATCTCTCAAACCTCTCACCATCACTCACTAGCAGTCTAATCAGAACACCACCTATCTGTCTGTCTGTCTGCCTGAACTCAATGACACGGCATCAACTACAGTTCACAGACCGGTCCAAAACAGCCCAACTATAGGGATGTGTGGTATTAAATACTATGCAGGAAAGAAACCTTCCAGCATTCATCCAGATGGCCATCTCAACCAGTGTCTGTTGTGATTAGGGCAATGTCACAGTAACAGAGTGACACAGAGACTCTGATATTTCACTTTAAAATGTATGTCAAACAAAAACCAATGATTGCAAAGTTAAACAAACCATACAACTCTATGCACAAGGACTACTTTTAACAATTTCCACTGAAATCTCCACTGTTCTTCAAGTAAATGTGTTTTTGTAAAATTTCTGTGGAAAGTGTTAAAAGTAGTCATTGTGCATAGAGTTGTATGGTTTGTTTAACTTTGCAATCATTGGTTTTTGTTTGACATACATTTTAAAGTGAAAAATCGTATTACTGTTACCTTGGAATTGCCCATTACGCAATACATCACTCTGTTCAGATGCAGACTGTGGCACTCCCTAGGTTGATATCTTATCTCAATCGCTTTCTCTCGCTCTCCATCTCCTTCTCTGTCGGTCTGTCTAACTCTCTCTCTCTAACCCCTTCCTCTCACTCCTCTTGCTCTCGTGCTCTACACCTCCCTCTGTTGTCTCCATCTCATCCCTCCATCTCTCTTCCTCACCCCCTCTCTCTCAATCTCTCACCCTCCTCATCTCCATCTCTCACCCCCTTCTCTCTCTCGCTCTCTCTCTCTCTAACCCCTGCTGCTGTCTGTCCCAGACTCCGTGCCCCTGCCAATCACAGCCAGTCTCATCACCTGCCAGGACATGCATATTCAGCAGGCTCACCTACGGGTTCATGCATATTCATGAGGCTTTGATGAAGAGCTCAGACAGGAGGTGTTGTCAGTCCCTGGTTCATATTTTGCTGCTCAGTCTTAAATAGAGTGTTTTCTGTGCTTTATGATCATTCATCTGAAAAGACTTGACAGCTGGAGACATTGGATACATCGGATGCATAATTCAGAGGGTTTGGGTTAAATGCGGAAGATGCATTTTGGTTGAATGCATTCAGTTGTGCAACTGACTAGGTATCCCCTTTACCAATATTGTACTACTATATCGGAAATAGGGTGCCATTTGGAACAAAGACAATATGATTACTCCCCACTCAGCCTAGGGGCCTGCTATCATCTCTCTACCTACTCAGGCCTTTTGACGAAATATGCTTCAGTCACAGTTTCTAAACTCAAGAGGTGCAACATCGTGAGAATTCCGGGAACGCTTGCGAAATAGACCAATCAGATCAGGCCGTGATTTGGGGTTTGAGAAGTTATCGAGAGAAGTGACAAATTATTCCTTAGTTGTTCATTTTCTCGAAATCAACCTAGAGTCGAGCCAATGTCTTAAGTAGTTGAACATGTTATTACTCCAACCTTGTGACAGTGACAAACTGACACGTTTTCATTTTCGTCAAAAACACAGTTAGACCAGATGACGTGTTTCAGCACATCAGCATAGCTAGCCAACGTCGCCATGACATGACCTACAAGCGTGATCTGGGATTTCTATTGGAGAAGCAGTTTCTGCCTATCTTCATACTGTGCTGTCTTTGCTTCACTATTTCAGGCCTACAAGTCCTCATGCCATTGGGGCAGTGGGGAAGAACCAAGTCAGAGAAAGGAGACAGAGGACATGAAGATGAGGATTAGAAAATGAATGAAAAAAGGTAGATGAATGAAAAAAAGAGGAGAGAGAAGCAGCGGCGGGGTGAAGAGAGAGGAGCAGCGGTGGGGTGAAGAGAGAGGAGTGAGAACAGGAGAGAGGAGCAGCGGCGGGGTGAAGAGAGAGGAGTGAGAACAGGAGAGAGGAGCAGCGGCGGGGTGAAGAGAGAGGAGTGAGAACAGGAGAGAGGAGCAGCAAAGAGAAAAGAGAGGAGGCAAGAGGGAGCATGAGGAAATAGAGGATGTAGGGGAGCTAAAAAAAAGAAGGAAAAAATAGAGAGTTCTCCTGGGAGGAATTGGGACCAGCGGGGGGGTGGTTCTCTTGGGTCTCCACTCAGGGAGGCTTAACGTTATAAACCCAGCCCGCTTCTCCGTTAGCATTAGTCTAGCCACAGGCTGAGCCCCAGAGGGATGTAGAGGGTAAAGAGCTCAGACACACTCTCATCCTCCAGGATGGCTCACTCCGGCTGGGCCACTCCTCCCTGGCCCGGAGCCCTATCTCTGGGGAGAGGTCAGAGTGGGTTCCCTTCGGGGAGGGATGAGGGATGGGGCTATCCCCTGGCTGTGGAGCAGCTGCTCCTCTGTTCCACTGCTATAATGGGGAGCCTTATTGCTATGCTAATAATGCTGATGTATCTCTGATCCTTTTGTGTCGAAGGGAGAGTCCCCCCCCCCACCAGCCCACCACCCCTCTTGTCCCATCTCACACTCCCCCCGATGTCATTAAGATTGGGGTAATTATGGGGATCTGCACACACCCAACGGCCCCCTCACACACACACGTACATATGCGAACACACACGCCTGGCTGCCTTTCTCCTCTGCCTCCTGCTCGCTGTCTCAGAGGCGGATCACTGGACTCTGCCTGGCCTAACGGGAAAGGGAGGAGTTGAGGGAGGGAGGGAAGGAGGGGGAGAGGGAAGGTGAGGAGGGTCAGGGCAGGGCAGGGGAACTCTGGGTAGTGTTTAATGACCCCCCAGAAGCAGACAGGGAAATGGGAGAATGAAGTCATACCAGACAGGCCTGCGTGAGTGTGTGTGTGTGTGTGTGTGTGTGTGTGTGTGTGTGTGTGTGTGTGTGTGTGTGTGCGTCCTTGCATGCGTACACTGTGTATGCGTGTGTGTGGAGAAAGGGGGTCTGCTAGTAAACATAAATTATGTCCATTAAATCAGTGGTGGACTGTGGTTGTAGATATTGTTCAGGGAATCCAGTGCTGACTGCAGACCTCTCAGTGCTGACTACAGACCTCCCTCTATATATATATATATACACAGTTGCTTCAGAAAGTATTCAGACCCCTTGACTTTTTCCACATTTTGTTACATTACAGCCTTATTCTAAAAATTAAAACAATTATAATGATCAATCTACACACAATACCCCATAATGACAAAGTAAAAACAGCTTTTTAGAAATTTTAGCAAATGTATTACAAATAAAAAACAGAAATATCTTATTTACATAAGTATTCAGACCCTTTGCTATGACACTCAAAATTGAGCTCAGGTGCATCCTTGAGATGTTTCTACAACTTGATTGGAGTCCACCTGTGTTAAATTCAATTGGTTGGACATGATTTGGAAATGCACACACCTGTCTATATAAGGTCCCACAGTTGACAGTGCATGTCAGAGCAAAAACCAAGCCATGAGGTTGAAGGAATGTCCGTTGAGCTCCGAGACAGGATTGTGTTGAGGCACAGATCTGGGGAAGGTCCCAAAAAAATTCTGCAGCATTGAAGATCCCCAAGAACACAGTGGCCTCCATCATTCTTAAATGGAAGAAGTTTGGAACCACCAATACTCTTCCTAGAGCTATCTAGACAGGTGTGTGCCTTTCCAAATCATGTCCAATCAATTTAATTTACCACAGGTGGACTCCAATCAAGTTGTAAAAACATCTCAAGGATGATCAATGGAAACAGGATGCACCTGAGCTAAATTTCAAGTCTCATAGCAAAGGGTCTGAATACTTATGTAAATAAGTTATTTCTGTTTTTGTTCTAAAAACCTGTTTTCACTTTGTCATTATGTGGTATTGTGTGTAGATTGATGAGGACAATGTTTTATTTAATCCATTTAACAAAATGTGGAAAAAGTCAAGGGGTCTGAAAACTTTCCGATATATATATATCTACTGTATCTATCTATGCATCTATCTACTGTATCTATCTACTGCATCTATCTACTGCATCTATCTATCTACTGCATATATCTATCCATCTACTGTCTCTATCCATCTACTGTATCTATCTACTGTATCCATCCATCCATCCATCCATCCACTGTATCTATATATATATCTACTGTATCCATCTACTGTATCTATCTACTGTATCCATCTACTGTATCCATCTATCTATCTACTATATCCATCTACTGTATCCATGTATCCATCCATCCATCCACTGTATCTATTTATCTATCTACTGTATCCATCTACTGTATCTATCTACTGTATCCATCTACTGTATCCATCTATCTATCTACTGTATCCATGTATCTAGCTACTGTATCCATCTATCCATCTACTGTATGCATCGATCTATCTACTGTATCCATCTATCTATCTACTGTATCCATGTATCTAGCTACTGTATCCATCTATCTACTGTATCCATCTATCCATCTACTGTATCCATGTATCTAGCTACTGTATCCATCTACCGTATCCATCTATCTACCGTATCCATCTATCTACTGTATCCATCCATCCATCGCCAGAGACTGGTCTGCAGTCAGCACTGGCTTCCCTCAACAATATATATATATATACTGTGTGTGTGTTAATTTTTTATTGTTTATTTCACTTTTGTTTATTATCTATTTCACTTGCTTTGGCAATGTAAACATATGTTTCCCATGCCAATAAAGCCCTTCAATTGAAATAGAAAATGAATTGAGAGAGAGAGAGATAGAGAGAGAATAGAAGAAGAGAGAGAGAGAGAGAGAGAGAGATATATAGAGATAGAGATAGAGAGATAGCGAGATATATAGAGATAGAGAGATGAGCGAGGTAGAGAGAGATAGTATAGCGATATCGAGCTAGAGGGGAGAGAGGATAGTAGATAAGGAGAGATAGATATCCCAAACCTTCCCATAACCAAGCCATCACCTACAAAGAGATGAACTTGGAAAAGAGTCCCCTAAGTAAGCTGGTCCTGGGGCTCTGTTCACAAACACAAACAGACCCCACACAGCCCCAGGAAAACAACAACAACACAATTAGACCCAACCAAATCATGAGAAAACAAAAAGAGAATTACTTGACACATTGGAAAGAATTAACAAAACAACAGAGCAAACTAGAATGCTAGTTGGCTCTAAACAGAGAGTACACAGTGGCAGAATACCTGACCACTGTGACTGATCCAAACTTAAGGAAAGCTTTGACTATGTACAGACTCAGTGAGCATAGCCTTGCTATTGAGAAAGGCCGCCATAGGCAGACCTGGCTCTCAAGAGAAGACAGGCTATGTGCACACTGCCCACAAAATTAGGTGGAAACTGAGCTGTATTTCCTAACCTCCTGCCAAATGTATGACCATATTAGAGACACATATTTTCCTCAGATTACAGAGATCCACAAAGAATTCGAAAACAAACCACATTTTGATAAACTCCCTTATCTACTGGGTGAAAAACCACAGTGTGCCATCACAGCAGCAAGATTTGTGACCTGTTGCCACAAGAAAAGGGCAACCAGTGAAGAACAAACACCATTGTAAATACAACCCATATTTGTTTATTTATTTTCCCATTTGTACTTTAACTATTTGCACATTGTTACAACACTGTATATATACATAATATGACATTTAAAATGTCTTTATTCTTTTGGAACTTCTGAGTGTAATGTTTACTGTTAATATTTATTGTTTATTTCACTTTTGTTTACTATCTACTTCACTTGCTTTGGCAATGTTAACACACGTTTCCCATGCCAATACAGCCCTTTCACCCGTGCTGCAACTCCCTTGAGTTACAACTTCAATTACAGCTGCAACACACACACACACGTACGCAGTTACACACACAGGTACACACATACATACACACACACACACACAGCCAGATGAACGACCATAGCTAGAGAGAGTGGCAGACAGAGTAACCCTACACAGAGGTGAGGGATGGAGACAGAGGACAGGACAAGGAGATAAAGAAAATATAATTATGTCTGCAGATTTGGAGAAGACGGAGGTGTATGTGTGTGTGTGTGGGGGGGTTAAAGATTGTGTTTGAGTGTGTGTGTGTGTGTGTGTGTGTGTGTGTCAGCAGCAGTGGGAGTGTGTGTGGTAGTGGTGGTGCAGTGGGAGTGTGTCTGGTGGTGCAGTCTGTGAGGAAGGCACAGAGAGATCAGAGTTTCTCAGACAAATGCTCTTCATTTATCACCTACTGTGTGTGTGTGTATGTGTGTGTGTGTGTGTGTGTGTGTGTGTGTGTGTGTGTGTGTGTCTGTGTGTGCGCGCTTGCAAGAAAGTGTGTGTGTGCGTGCACACATGTGCTTGTGTGAGTTTGTGTGTGCGTGTGTGTGAGGGAGAGCAGACAATAGAAGACACAGCACTGCCAGGGCAACATTGGGGGTTAGATCCAAACTGTACTGTACCCAGCACAACCCAAACATGACTACACTTCATATCCCAGTCACAACAATAACAACCCCATCAGCCACGTCACACCACCATGTTGAGGGCAGCACGGCTACATCTGGAGAAACAAGAGAGGAGAGAAAAATGAAGGGAGGACAAATAGGAAGACAATATGAGAGAGAGAGAGAGAGAGAGAGAGACCAGAAAAAGAAAGGAGTGTCGAAGAAGAAAGAGCAGGAGGCTATCCTTTACTGACAGAGCTTTTATGTACATCCCATCAGCTACTAAGACCAGCTCTTCCTTACATACTGTATGTCTGCGTCCCAAATGTCTGCAAATGGCACCACATTCCCTATAAAGTGCCCTTCTTTTGACTATAGTGCAGTGCACTACTTTTGAGCAGGGCTCTGGTCAAAAGCAGTGCACTGTATAGGGAATAGGGTGCCATTTTAGACTCAGCCTATGTGGGCTAGTTCCAGTAATGATCAGCATACTGTACTGTATGTAGGGTAGAGTGGAGGTGTGGACACCCCAGATCTCTCTCTCTCTCTACAGTAAGTAGGACACCTCCCTATCCCTCGATCATCTCCCTTCCTATTCCAGCACAGCCTAGAACCAGAGAATGTTAATATCACATTCCTCAAACCATCCAGACACACACACACACGGCGCGCTCGTTCACGCACGCACGCGCACACACACAGATGAGAAAATCTATTAAATTCCCCAAACCATCATTAATCTGAGCTCCGGCTCCATTACGTAGAATCAGCATAATGAGATGGTGTGTGTGTGTGGTGGGGGAGAGTTATGATTAGCTGATATATTAGATTGTGTAGTGCTGAGACTGAAGCTTCCTTAGTGATGTGCAGGACAATGTGTTTGCTTTTATTACATTTTACAGAGACAAAAAGAAAACGCAAATCAGGAGGAATCTAATATTCCTCCTGTCATTGTGCGCCGTGAGCCCTGTGTGTGTGTGTGTGTGTGTGTGTGTGTGTGTGTGTGTGACGGAAATCTCCTGCATGCAGCCTCTAGTCTAGGGGATAATCTGAGTCAAAGTGTTCAAGGCATCAGACTCTGCCTCCTCGCGCAGCAGCAAGGCTCTTCATGTTCCAGTAGAAGAAGAACAGAACACACCAGAACACAACAGCCACAGGGGCTGAGGTTGGGGCTGTGCAGAGAGATGGGTCTGGAGCTGAGAATGGTGCTGGGTTATACTGGTCCAAGGCTGGCCCTGGAGCCGCACATGTTCCAGAGGCATTGTCCCATCACAGAGAGGGAGCTGCAAACTGTATGTATGAATGCAGAGTATGTATGAGTAGCATTATGCAGTCACACATGCAGATGGAGACACACACACACACACACACAGTGGTGGTGGTGAGGAAGCCCATACATATTGAGCAGGCCGGTGGGTCGGCGTACAGGCACATCTGGAAGCATGATTTAAAGTCTCTTAATAATGTATTTGGTCAGATGCTGTGTGATGCTCTCACACCTCATTACCCCAACTCTCCTGTTCAGCTCAATTCTGCTTCTTTGAGAGAGAAAGTGGAAATGGCAAATGCCTTTTAGCCAGGAGTGGTTAACATTTAGGAAAACAGAGAGGGGAAAACAGGGATGGCCTACATTCTGACAGATGAATCACAGCTCTAAATGGAGCCCTGTGACGTGTACGTGTGTCTATGTGTGTGTCAGGACTAGTTAAGGAGGAAAACAGGATTTGACTAAAACAATAGAAAGAAAGGATGGAATACGGAGGAGCCAATAGGGGAGCTGGATTAGTCCACCTCACAGCCAATTAAACACTCCCGTGAGCCAAGCCTAAACACGGACTTATCATATAGACATCGTAACTGATCACTTCGTCATGGTAACTGATAGCGTTGCCAAGGTAACTGATAGCTTTGCCAAGGTAACTGATCATGTTGTCATGGTAACTGATAGCGTGTGTGTGTGTGTGTGTGTGTGTGTGTGTGTGTGTGTGTGTGTGTCTGTGTGTGTGTGTGTGTGTCGTTGGTTCCCTTCACTAGGGGTAAACAGAGTAAAGTGCACATCAGGGAAACTAAACAAGCGTTCAGGATGCTAAGTCGATTGCCAAATGGCTCCTGAACGTTCTGGTGAGACTGTGTGTTCAGCTTGAGTGGCTAACGTCAGAAAGCCAGCCAGCCAGCCAGTTGAGCAGAACACTGTCTGTCCCTGTGCTGCTGCGTGTGTGTGTGTGTGTGTGTGTGTAAGAAGGTGTGTCTGTGTGAGAAGGTGTGTGTGTGTGAGAAGGTGTGTGAGTGAGTGAGCCAGTCTCAGTGATAGTAAAGTGGTAGAACCCCACACAGCCAGTCTCAGTGATAGTAAAGTGGTAGAACCCCACACAGCCAGTCTCAGTGATAGTAAAGCGGTAGAACCCCACACAGCCAGTCTCAGTGATAGTAAAGTGGTAGAACCCACCATTGGCCTCACAGGTAGCATGAAAGAAACATCCCAGGTCTACCTCCACAGCTATAATGCAATACTCTGTGCTCCAGGGTGAAGGGTATGTGTGTGTGTCTGTGTGTGTGAAAACAGAGAGCAACCCAGGGCATGCACACACTATAATGAGGCAGTGCACAAACACAAACACTCCTCAGCTCAGACACAGCAAGGTCAGAGTGCCAGTCTGAATGACTTCAGTCTCCTCACAGAGATAATACAGAACAGCCTGGGAAGCCAACACAAACACTGACATTAACATCCTCAACACACAACACAAACTTTGCCTCAACGTCATTAGTGGGTTGTTCAGTGTGTGTGTGTGTGTGTGTGTGTGTAAAGGCCTATTATTGCAACAGTGTGTGAGGCCACTGGCGGTGTAGTTAGTGAATTGTTGATGAGGGAAAGAGTTCAAAAACATCTCTCTTTCTATTCCCCCTCTTTTTTCTCTTCCTCGGTCCCCCCCTCTCTCTCTTCCACCCATTTTCGTCTCTCTCTAGTCACTCTCTCTAGTGGGGGATATTAACGATCCATCGTTACTCCACTTTGCTCCATTAGGAGGTTCCGCCCTGCCCAGTGCTACTCTACACATACACACACAGTCTGTAACCCAGAGAGTGAGAGCAATTAGAGCAGAGAGAGAGAGAGAGAGAGATAGATAGCGAGAGATAGAGAGAGAGAGAGATAGAGAGAGAGAGAGCTAGAGAGAGAGAGAAGCTATAGCTTCGCGTATTAGAGAGCTAGATAGCTATAGAGAGATAGGAGATGCTAGAGAGTAGGAGAGATAGAGAGAGAGAGGGTGGGGGGGTGTTTCTAATGTCTATAGATCCTTGGCACCACAGACCTAACTGCTCATACAGGACACACTCCTCAGACTGAACAGCACTCAGACAGAACACAGCAGGGCAGGGAGACAGGGAGGAAAACCCCCTGTGCAGCATATGTTCACCTCTAAACATTACCTGACCTCAGGCCTACCGCAGTCATTCTCTGTGTGTGTCTCCGTTTTGTGTGTTAATTGATGCCCAGAATGTTAGTAGTATGGTTGGTTGGCCATACGGCTCCAGGTGTGTGTGTCCTACCTGGTTGTAACACGCTGATCCCCAGCAGGTTGGACGTCCTGTTGGCCACTTTGTTCCAGGTGTTGTCGTAGTTCCTCCTCCACAGGAGGGCAGAGCACTGATAGGTCCCCGCCTCCCTGCGCCCGGCGCGCGTCACAGACAACCTGAAGTTAGTGTTGGAATGGGAACGGTCCACGGTGGTGCGGGTGCCCAGGCCCAGCAGCTGCTCGCCCCACTGCAGCGTGCCCTCACGGGTAAATGTCACCAGGTCTCGGAACTCGCCTGCCGTGCCACCCTCCCCAGAAGAGCCCGAGCCAGCGGGCATGAAGCGCCAGGTGACGGAGGCAGGCACACGAGGGTTATGGCGGGGCTTCACCAGGCACTGGAGGTCAAACGAGTCGCCAAAGGTCACGCTGGGCGTCCGCGACGACGCCGACACCACAAAGGAGGATTCTGGGAAAACAGGAAGAGATCCGTTATTCCAAACCAACCCCTAGCTCCTATTCCCTAGCTCGTATTCCCTAACTCCTATTCCCTAGGCACCTTACTTATTATTTAATTTTTTACATTTTAGTCATTTAGCAGACTTACAACAGCAATTAGGGTTAAGTGCCTTGCTCAAGGGCACCGACAGATGTTTCACCTAGTCGGCTCTGGGATTCCAACCAGCAGCCTTTTGGTTACTGGCCCAATGCTCTTAACTGCTAGGCTACCCGCCACCCACTTGATGTAGATGTGAAAGGATTGGAGAGGTAAGCAGTGTGGCAGGCCAGGCAGCATAACAGAGGTCATGGTGGTGACAGACTGTGATGGAGCAACCCTCTACTTTAATACACAGACAAAAGGGGAGTGAAGGAGTAGGGATTGCAAGACTGAGTTGCATTCAGGGAGAGTTGAATAACTTGCCTTTGATCAACAAGTTAGCCGTTAGAATCCATTCACTGTCCTCTGAAACACAACATTATGGAGAGGTTGTATAAATGTGTGTTTGTAGATGATGTACTGAATTTATAGGGTTAATGCTAACACACAGGTCCTCTCTCTCTCATGGTGGGTGGGTGGGGGGAGGATTCTCCTGCTGAGATTAACACTGACAACACTTACCCAGGGAGCACAGGGGCTTAGTTCCAGAGCCTGTGCTGACGGAGCACAGATCGATTTCTCATGACTCCCCGGGGCGGCCAAAGACCAGCAAAGGGAGTGTGTGTGTGTTTGCGTGTGTGTGTGTGTGTGTTTGTCTGCGTGTGTGTGTGTGAGTGTGTGTAAGAGCAGAGCTGAAAACCATTGGTGATGCACCACCAGAGAAGGCTCCAGGTAGAGATTTGCTGTAAGAGCTGATGTTCGATCTGCTTGCTCCTCTAGCCAATCCAAACTTTCCTCATTAAGATAACAACAGTCATCCTGGTTCAGATAATAGGGTCAACATAGACCTACACCACACCTCTTAGAGCGAAGAGAAAGAGGAGGGAGAGGTTCCCCGGTACTTCACTCCTCCATCAGATATCCCTCTGTAATATCCTTCATTCCAAATGTCGACAAAACAAAATACGCTAGACAAGGTGGGATCTTTTTCTGTCTGTAAAATGAATTATGCAAGAAATGTTGGTGGAAATGCTTTTATGTGCAAATATTGATATAATAACCATAATTTCAACGTAAACTTAGAGTCACGCAATCAGTTGACTGATTTCCTTATATAAACTGTACTTCAGTGAAATTTATATTTTTGTTCAGTATAAGTTATGATGAACTTCACAGGGTGGTGAATGTGCACGGTGATGATCTTGATGCTCCTTTCCAATAAATATCGAGTGTCTTATTCTGGTGACATGATGATCGATTCTTGGCTGCCATTTTACAAATAAAAATAATCTTGCTATTTTGTCCATAATAATCTCATCATGTAGGCTACACCTGCACTGTATCTGCCAGCTGTTGGCTAGAGCGCACGTGCTATATAATGCATTTTTTTTAAAATGAGAAAAACCATCAGTAGAGTTGAAAATGCGATGGAAACCCATTGAATATTTTTTATTCGGTGCATGGAAATATAACCGCAAAAGGTATTTGTATGTGCACTACGTCATCACGCACAGCCTTTTATCCTCAACAAGTCAATTTGATGGAAACACCTCTCTGGTGTGAAAATGTGCATATTGTTTTTATGCGAATTTTAGCAGCCTCAGCCCATAACTATGTTAGACAATAACTCTCCTCTCTCTCTCTCCATCTCCCCCATCTCTCCTCAGCCCTTCCCTCTCTCCCTCAATCTCCCCCATCTCTCTCAGCCCTTCCCTCTCTCCTTCCATCTCTCCTCAGCCCTTCCCTCTCTCCCTCCATCTCCCCCATCTCTCCTCAACCCTTCCCTCTCTCCCTCCATCTCTGTTCAGCCCTTCTCTCCCTCTCTCCGTCTGTCTATCTTCTTCCATCCATCTCTGTCGGTCTGTCTGCCTCTGTGACTGGAGAGACAAGTTCACACTGATAATTTATTTCCTATCATATTACCAAATGTGCCTTTCACTGCGAGTGTACTGTAAGTACATGCCTTCCATGTGTGTGTGTCTGCTTGTGTGTGCGTATTTGTTTGTTAGGTCTCAGAGCCTGTCATTATCACAGACCTGCCAACCCAATCACTCATGGGGGCTCTTCAACCAATCAGTTACCAGGATCCCCTGACTACCTAAATGAACACCTTCACCATGGCAATACAACGCACCCTGTCAAACCCCACAGGGCAGGCAGTCAAAGTGGAAAAAGAGGCATCATGATAAAGGGGAATGGAAGGATAGAGGGAGAAACATCTTGAAGACACACGTACACGCTAGGGATGGGTATGGTTATTTGAATATTCGAAGATCCGAACGGATATTAGTATTTGATTACTTGGGACAGTATTCATTTTTGAGAAGAAAAAAAAACATAAGCCTATTTTTGTTTTTGAAATGGCTTGGTCTAAAATGAAATACAATTATGTATGTGACATTGTTACATAGCCTACAAGGATAGACCATTACATTTTACATTTTTATAAAACAACAGTTTTATGACTGTTATATATTTTCTTTACAACCCCTTTTTCTCCCCAATTTCGTGATATCCAATTGCGATCCAATTACGATCTTGTCTCATCGCTACAACTCCCCAATGGGCTCGGGAGAGGCGAAGGTCGAGTCATGCGTCCTCTGAAACATGACCCTCCAAACCGCCCTTCTTAACACCCGCCTGCTTAACCCGGAAGCCAGCTGCACCAATGTGTCGGAGGAAACACCGCTCAACTGACAACCGAAGTCAGCCTGCAGGACCTGGGCCCGCCACAAGGAGTCGCTTGAGCGCGATGAGCCAAGTAAAGCCCCCCCGGCCAAACCCTGCCCTAACCCAGATGACGCTGGGCCAATTGTGCGCCGCCCTATGTGACTCCCGGTCACGGCCGGTTATGACACAGTCTGGGATCGAACCCGGGTCTGTAGTGATGCATCAAGCACTGCGACGCAGTGCCTTAGACCGCTGCATCACTCGGGAGGCCCGTTTTACGACAGTTTTTATGAGTGCAGCCCATAAAAAAGACGCACCGGTAGCCTAAACACGTTTCATACGTGTAGCTTGTTGTTATTGTCGGTCAATCAAAGCGGCACTACAGTCAGAGGCTCCATGTGTAGCAAGTGAAGTGGGAGATTTCTAATCAATGCAAAATGGAATAAAAATGACAGAATTAAGTTGGCTAAATGAGAAGGAGTAGGATACAAACATCAACCAATAGGTAGGCTGTTGTTTCATAAGAATGGAGTTGTTTTAGACGGAGAGCGCAGCAAAATAGCGTCAATTAGCCTTGCTACTTTAGCTAGCTAGCTGGCTAGCTTAGCTGGCTACTGTAGCTTCTTTACAACAATTTGATGCAGTCAAGAAGGGCACTACCTGATGGTATGATAGATAACCTATGACAGCAACAAGTTTGTCTAACTAGCGAGAGTCAGTTTGGCTACTTTCTCCCTCTCTGTCTCCCTCTGTGCCACACACATAGAAACTCACACACTCCAACCCCTGCTCCTCTCTCACCCATCACCACGGCTCTCTCGAGCAAGGGGCCAGGGTTCTAGTCTAGAAGCTTGGGCCAGGGTTCTAGTCTAGAAGCTCGGTTTCGACTGCTCCTACAGTTTTGATTCAGTACTGCAGTTTAACTGATGCCCGGCCCAGAAAAATAATTTCCATTGATGGCTACATAGAGAAGTCAGATTTGAAATTCCTAATAAGACATTTTAGTCATCACTTTTGTGGACAAAACATTCATTGAATTATTCAAATAATTGTCGCTGAGGCAGATTTTTTTCCTATCACTCACAGCCGAAGACATTAACATTTTATATTCATCCAATGTCAGCCATGTTTTTGGATGACGTCGTCTCTGCTCGCTCTGCTCCCTGTGCGCACTGAGTGATGTTGGTCTGTATAAACCGGAAACAATCCGGATATAGACGGTCCATGAATCGGCGTATGCGAACGTGAGTAGATAACCTTGAAAACAATGGTCAGACATCTTGGATGCAGTTTCCAGTTCTTATTATACCTCAGTGCTCGAGTTGCGCGAGCAAGTCTCCATTGAAGTTTTACAAAATATATGTTTTTCTGTAAAACATGTATTTCGTCTATCCGGATATCCCAAAAAATATCATGATATGATTAGAATACTGAAATAATTTCAAATACCCCTTCCTAGTACACACAAGCACAAGCGCGCACACACACACACAAGCGCACACACACACACACACACAGATACAGGCATACTGTACACACAAATAAAAACAAACGTGTCGGAACAATAACAAACCCCAACATCTACAGTTGAAGTCGGAAGTTTACATACACCTTAGCCAAATACATTTAAACTCAGTTTGTCACAATTCCTGACATTTAATCCTAGTAAAAATTCCCTGTCTTAGGTCAGTTAGGATCACCACATTATTTTAAGAATGTGAAATGTCAGAATAATAGTAGAGAGAATGATTTATTGGGTCAGAAGTTTACATACACTCAATTAGTATTTGGTAGCATTGCCTTTAAAATTGTTTAACTTGGGTCAAACAGTTTACAGTTTAGTCATTTAGCAGACGCTCTTATCCAGAGCGACTTACAGTTAGTGCATACATTATTTTATTTTTTCATACTGCCCCCCCCCCCGGGAATCAAACCCACAACCCTGGTGTTGCAAACGCCATGCTCTACCAACTGAGCTACATCCCTGCCGGCCATTCCCTCCCCTACCCTGGATGACGCCGCCCCCCCAAACGTTTCGGGTAGCCTTCCACAAGCTTCCCACAATAAGTTGGGTGAATTTTGGCCCATTCCTCCTGACAGAGCTAGTGTAACTGAGACAGGTTTGTAGGCCTCCTTGCTCGCACACGCTTTTTCAGTTCTGCCCACAAATGTTCTATAGGATTGAGGTCAGGGCTTTGTGATGGCCACTCCAATACCTTGCCTTTGTTGTCCTTAAGCCATTTTTCCACAACTTTGGAAGTATGCTTGGAGTCATTGTCCATTTGGAAGACCCATTTGCGACCAAGCTTTAACTTCCTGACTGATGTCTTGAGATGTTGCTTCAATATATCCACATCATTTTCCTTCCTCATGATGCCATCTATTTTGTGAAGTGCACCAGTCCCTCCTGCAGCAAAGCACCCCCACAGCATGATGCTGCCACCCCCGTGTTTCACGGTTGGGATGGTGTTCTTCGGCTTGCAAGCACCCCCTTTTTCCTCCAAACATAACGATGGTCATTATGGCCAAACCGCTCTATTTTTGTTTCATCAGACCAGAGGACATTTCTCCAAAAAGTACGATCTTTGTCCCCATGTGCAGTTGCAAACTGTAGTCTGGCTTTTTTATGGCGGTTTTGTAGCAGTGGCTTCTTCATTGCTGAGCGGCCTTTCAGGTCATGTTGATATAGGACTCGTTTTACTGTGGAAATAGATAATGTTGTACCTGTTTCCTCCAGCATCTTCACAAGGTCCTTTGCTGTTGTTCTGGGATTGATTTGCACTTTTCTCACCAAAATACGTTCATCTCTAGAAGACAGAACACGTCTCCTTCCTGAGTGGTATGACGGCTGCGTGGTCCCATGGTGTTTATACTTGCGTACTATTGTTTGTACAGATGAACGTGGTACCTTCAGGCATTTGGACATTTCTCCCAAGGATGAACCAGACTTGTGGAGGTCTACAATTTATTTTCTGAGGTCTTGGCTGATTTATTTTGATTTTCCCATGTTGTCAAGCAAAGAGGCACTGAGTTTGAAAGTAGGCCTTGAAATACATCCACAGGTACACCTCCAATTGACTCAAATGACATCATTTTCTGGAATTTTCTAAGCTTTTTAAAGGCACAGTCAACTTAGCGTATGTAAACTTCTGACCCACTGGAATTGTGATACAGTGAATTATAAGTTAAATAATCTGTCTGTAAACAATTATTGGAAAAATTACTTGTGTCATGCACAAAGTAGATGTCCTAACCAATTTGCCAAAACTATAGTTTGTTAACAAGTAATTTGTGGAGTGGTTGAAAAACGAGTTTTATGATTCCAACCTAAGTGTATGTAAACTTCCGACTTCAACTGTACATAGTCTACACAATTAATCAGTTACTAAAACACAACAAATGACCAGTTAAAAAGCTGACATCTTGTCTCTCCCTCTACGGCAGGACATAGTTCTGCTGCAGGGCTAATCCCTTCGCTGTGTGTGTGTGTTGAGCTCTTGGCTCCCCAGTGCCTCAGGCAGTGCTTCGCTCCAGTGCTCTCTCAGTCAGCCTGTTCCAGGGATGTTCAGCTTAACTCAGCACTGACAGAGAAAAGCCTGCCCACTGCTAAACACATTTACAACTGCATTTACATTCTAATAATTCTGGCTAATCTGTGTGTACGCAAGTAGTGGAATGTGTGTCTCAAGTCAAGATTGTGTGTGTGGTGTCCATTGAGCCTAATATCATAAAAAAGGAAAACTACATCTGAAGTCAGAATGGTATGTGTGTGCGTGTGTGTTGGTGAATCCGTTTTTGTGTGTATGTGCACGTGTGTGTGTGTGTTGTAGTGGCACAAAACCCCCCCACCAAGGGGTATGTGCCACTACAACAACACACACACACACACACACACACACACACACAAAAACGCATACACCAACACACACGCACACCATTCTGACTTCAGATGTAGTTTTCCAACACATGAATAAAGCATGATTTGTTTTCCAGCCCCTAACTGAGCTAGTCATCACAATCTCTTATAGCACAAACTGTTCTTTGTGTGTTCCTGACATCTCCCTGCACACGCTTACCAACTGCCTACACACTGATGGCCTGACGTGTGTGTGTGTGTGTGTGTGCTCGTTCCAGGGAAAAGCTAAAGAAATGTCTTCACAGCTATGCCCTTGTGTGTATGTGTGTATGAGGATGTGTTCACCTGTTGCAAAAGCTTACAACTTGTCATGACAAAATGGCTTTGATGTGTGTATGTGTGTGTGTGTATGTGTGTGTGTATATACTGTACTCTGTGTGTGTGTGTGAGGGTCCCTTGCATAACCTGTGCAATGTTGTGACAGTGATGGTGTGTATCTTCCTGAGTCATGACACCCTGCTACACACACTCACCCACAGTCTTAACAGTGATGGCCTTAGTAGCTGACTTCTCCCCTATCTTCTCCCAGCTTAGCTCTGACTCTGTCCCGGCCTCCACCCACTCTGTGGCTGTGCACCGGTAGAGCCCCTCGTCCCCAGGCAGGGCGTTGTAGAGGGACAGGGTATAGATGTCCTCCTGTACCCTCTCCACCCGGATCTCCCCGTAGCTGGAGCGCTCACGGTACCCAGGGCCTGGTCGGACGGTCCCGTCGCGGTCTACGGAGGCCAGGTCCTGGGGAGGGGTGGAGCCCTTCTTCTCACTCCACTGCCAGGCCACAGAGAGAGGACCCGTGGTGGAGTGGATGGAACACGTCAGCTGGACTACGTCCCCCTCCTGGACCTCCGACGAGTTACTGGACAAAGTCACTGTGATGTTACTCTCTGGTGGAGGGCGAGAGGAGTTGGGAGAGACATAATTCAGAGAGAGAGAGGAGAGAGGAGAGAGGAGGGTGGAGAGAGATAATTCAGAGAGAGAGAGGAGAGAGGGAGGGAGGAGGGTGGAAAAAGATAATTCAGAGAGAGAGAGTAGAGAGGGAGGGAGGAGTGGGGAGAGAGATAATTCAGAGAGAGAGAGAAGGAGAGAGAGAGTAGAGAGGGAGGGAGGAGGGTGGAGAGAGACAATTCAGAGAGAGAGAAGGAGAGAGAGAGTAGAGAGGGAGGGAGGAGTGGGGAGAGAGAGAGTAGAGAGGGAGGAGAGATGGAGGGAGGAGTGGGGAGAGAGATAATTCAGAGAGAGAGAAGGAGAGAGGGAGGGAGGAGGGTGGAGGAATAGGGAGAGGGAGTGAGAGAGAACAAAGAAACAAAATCAGTCAAAATGTATCCAAACCTCTCAGAAATCAAATGTTGATAGGGTTAAAAAAGATATATTAATAATGAAATAATAGAACCAGGCTTCTTATTTTGAAAAATTCCTAGAAGAGGGCACAGTGATGCTGAAACGTTGGTGGTTTACCCAATATATTACTGGGAGCTTGCTTGTGGTTTACCCAATAAATGACTGGGAGCTTGCGACTATTTCTTTTTATAGCCTATGGTATACTCACCGTTAGTCAGCACCTCTACCAACTCTTTGGAGCTAGTACTTGGTAGCACAGCCTTTGGCCAAGAAGGCTTGTAGCCACCAATGAGCTTCCTGCAACTTTCTACTGGCAATTTGACCCACTCTTCAGCAGCAAACTGATCTAATTCTTCGTTTGAGGGATGCCCTCCACCAACTGCTGTTTTTAGATCTAGCCATATGTAGGGCTGTGGCGGTCATAACATTTTGTCAGCTGGTGATTGTCAAGCAAATAACTGCCAGACTCACGGTAACTGACCGTTAATTAACATAAACACATTTAGCATCTCCTGGCTTCAACGCATAGCCTACAAGCCACTGATGCAGACCTTTGGAACATCTACATTGTAAAAAGTCGAATAAATCCATGTAATATAACCTACACCATCACAATAAATCCATTTTTATTTTAGACAGGTCTAAAGAAACATTTCAGAAGGATAGAAGAGCATACTATGAGTTGTCCTTATGTTAGGCTTTCTCACAGCCTACAAGTGAAGACAGACATATCGGGGACACAACTGCGCGCGTCCTTATCCAATTCCGAGGCACATATTGAAGATATTGGAAGAACCTTCCACATTTACTTTTGGTCAGCCAACAAGATGAGTAGGCCTAACGAACAGCACTAGCCTATGTCAATCTACTATCCCCCATAGTACAAAAGTTGACATATTCTATTGGTCAACTTGTCCTTCTGTGCGAGAAATAAATATTCCAAACATACTCTGGGGCAGTTGTGGGATGCAATAGATCCCAAATTAATACATCCACCAGCCGATGCTTGGCATTGCGCATGGTGATCTTAGGCTTGTGTGCGGCTGCTCGGCCATGGAAACCCATTTCATGAAGCTCCCGACAAACAGTTATTGTGCTGACGTTGCTTCCAGAGGCAGTTTGGAACTCGGCAGTGAGTGTTGCAACCGAGGACATACGATTTTTACGCGCTGAGCTTCAGCACTCGGCGGTCCCGTTCTGTGAGCTTGTGTGGCCTACCACTTTGCGGCTGAGCCGTTGTTGCTCCTAGACGTTTCCACTTCACAATAACAGCACTTACAGTTGATCGGCGCAGCTCTACCAGGGTAGAAATTTGATGAACTGACTTGTTGGAAAGGTGGCATCCTATGACGGTGCCACGTTGAAAGTCACTGAGCTCTTCAGTAAGGCTATTCTACTGCCAATGTTTGTCTATGGAGAATGCATGGCTGTATGCTCGATTTTAAACCTGTCAGCAACAGCTGTGGCTGAAATAGCCGAATACACAAATTTGAAGGGGTGTCCACATACTTTTGTATATATAGCGTATGTATGTATGACACAGCAGCATGTGTGTCTCTGGAGATGATCACTCTACTCTAGCCTAGGGGCACCTGAGAGAGAGAGAGACTGTCAGACACACACAGACCCCAGTGGACTTAGCAGATCCCACTTCTGACACCAAATGTAACGCAGCATCTACCCCCGGTCCACCCGGGGCTTAGGGGCCGGCTCTGAGATCACACAGCTCAGCGTCTGAGGGATTCCGCCTCAGAAGAAAGTGCTAGAAGGATAAAAGTGTTCAGCCCCTGTGCTTTAAAAAAGCCCCGCTCGCTCTCTCCTTCTCGCATCACATCAGCGCCTTTCACACACGGCAGAGCCTGGTGGAGCGCTGCCCGGCCAAAACACCCCCTTAACCTCGGGGTGATGGGCTTAGTCTCCAGAGACACAGGGAAGGCTTCTTTCCCTCTCCCTCGCTCTCCCTCTCTCTCCCTCGTTCTCTCCATTTTGTTCTCTCTGCCGTCAGTCAGAGGTTTTCTCAGAGCTAACCACCCCTCCTAACAAGCTCTTGGGAGAATACAGAATGAAGCGCCTTTCACACTTAAATGAACAAAGGGAAGGCCTCCATCCCTTTCTCTTTCTTCCTCTGTCTTTTGATTTCACCCCAGGTTTTTACGGTGTTAAATACATTATACATTCTCTCCGTCTCTCAGCTTTAAGTGTCAATGTGCGTGAACATCACATATGATTAAGCAGGCAGAGGGCAGCTTCTCTCCTCTTCAAACCTGCCTGTTTTTCTCAGTCTCTCTTTAAATCTCAGATTTGTTTCTTCTTTTTATGTCTCCCACTTGTAACTTCTCTCCCCCATCTCCCTTTCTGAACTTCATTGGTCTCTTTACACCTCTGTATTTTCGCTGTGTGTGTTTTTCCTCTCTCCTTCTCTTCAATCCCCTCTATCTCTGTTCCTTTCTCTCTGTATGTCTCTCTTTCTCTACTGCCCCTCTCTGTGTTTGTAATTCATAGCAGCGCTTCAAGACCCCTCTCCCCTGCAAGGTAAACTCATCCATCAGGACCGATTTGTCAGCACTGTTTACAGCTCTCTGTTCCCTCTGCCTGCCCTCCCGCTCTCACCCCTCTCTAACCCATATACTCCCCCCATCACCCATCGCCCCAATTAGGGCCACACAGAGGCCACTGTCTAATTAGCCCAGATACAAGCAGTGGTAACTAGAGGTAGGTGCGTCGGGGGTGTTGTCTGTATAGGGGAGTCACCCTGACCCCATACCCTTACCCCTCTACTCCCCGGTCCATTAAGACCTCCCTCCCTGCTGTAACCATGGTTATTACACTGTAAAAACTCCATAAAATGCTTTTATAGAACATTAAACCTCTGTTAGGGAAACCAAAGGTCTCATTAGGGAGCATCTTGGGGATTACTGGAGCCATGTGGGGGCCAGAGGGGCTTTGTTTTGGGACAGTTTTGGGTGGGAGTGGGGGGTGAGTGCTTGCTTAAAGGAGTAGTTCACTATTTCACAACTTGATGTTAGATGGTCCCTCACCCTGAAAGTAATCTATGGGCCAAGAGAAAACTGTAATCTATGGTTCAGCCACTACAAATTTCAGTTAACCGTAGCTACCACAAGCTAAAAACCAATTTAAGTGATGGAGGCATGTGAGCATGTTTTAAAAAATTATGTCCAAATCACCTGAAATCAATTCAAATCAACTCCATATTTGGTTTGATGTTATTTAAAGATCATTTGGCCATAACAACAAAAAATACATGCTCACATGCCCCCATTACTTCCATTGATTGTTAGGTTGTGGTGGCTAAAGTTAGCTGAAGTTTGTAGTGGCTGTTTAAAGAAAAATGAACCATAGAAGCATTTCACTACATTTCGCTACACCCACAATAACACCTGCTATATATGTGTATTTGACCAATAACATTTGATTTGATTTGATTACAGTTTATCCTGGTCCATCGACTACTTTCAGGGTGAGGAACCATCTGACATCAAGTTGTAAAATAGTGAACTACTCCTTTAAGGTCAGGATATTTAGGATGAGTTGGGGTGTGTTGTTATTGTGTTTTTTTAGGATTCAAGACCAGCCCTTAGAAAGAGAGAGTGAGCGAAAGAGTGAGGGATAGAGAGAAGGGAGGGTGCTGTAGAGGGGCTATAGAGCTGCAGACCAGAGGGGAGCTACTTCACTAGTAGACAGATAGGCTAGAAAGAGAGAGGAAGAGAACATTGGGCACTGAGGTTTTTGGGGGGTTGTATTAGCTTGTGCTCCAGCACACCCCTAGCGGCCACCCCTCTGAAAGCCCAGCTGAGTCCCTCAGCCCCAGCAGAACACAGTAATTTAGCCCAGGGATCCATTAGTGGGCCCTGGAGAGGTAGGCCCCATTCTCTCTCCCTCTCTCCCTTTCCACACTCTCATTTCACGCCTGTTAGCTCAGCCTCCTCCATCCTCCTCTCCAGCTTTCTCCATTATCCAAGCTAGCAGCTCTCGCTCGCAGCCCCGAGCTGAGGGAATGTGAAGGACCATAATACTGCATTACCAAACTTTAGCAATCCACTGACACAGAAAATAATGGTATAATAAAGAATGCCTTCATTCTTAGTTTGACTCAGGATCTGCTGTTCTCTGGAAAGAGCGGTATCTGACCTCCGAGAGACAGAGGGGACACTGGGAGAATACATCATGCATATCATTAAAAAGGAATACTAATATCAAAAGGGCCAATGAGATGCTGTTTAACTTAGGGGTTTTCTTTTTTTGCCGAGGGACCCCCTGCCCAGGCAAACCGGCGACCCAGGGACCCCCATCATGTTATCAAAAAAGAAAAAAAGGTATTGTCTTGTCTTATCATCAGGTGAATGATAATGGCAAGTTGAAGTAATCAACATTTATAAATGAATAGATTTGGCAGACAGTTTCATTATTTTGACCTCCCCACAGTTCATTGGAAGAGGAAGTGTAAACTAACATAGTCTATTAGCTAGAAAGGTATCTTGGCGGCAAAGAGAACATTTTCGATTCTCCCTGAAGGTATAGCTTTTATTTAATTGTTAGTTCTCAAAGATGGTATTATTAAAATATATAGTTCAATATCTTTTCTGCATGCTTTCTCTCTGGTTTTGGTCTTTTAAGTTGACACATACTGCTTTTACATCCCGGAAATTACCACTCTATACAGAAAAAAAACTGTAATTAGCTCCAATGACTGCAATGTCCTCCTATGACTGCAATTTCCGAGAATTTGGCAATGAAGCCATTTATATACTTCCACAGTCACTGCGCTAATGCTAATTAGCATTGGCTTGTGAAACTACCTCTAACTTCCTTTATACTGGACGCAGAGACATACAAACGTTATCCAGCTAGCAATATTCATAAAATATAAATTTTTCACATAAAACACCCCCCCCAAAAAAGGTTTTTAACAATTTCGTAGACCCCCTGCACAACCTCAGCGGACCCAGGTTTGAAAACCTCTGGTTTAACTGACCGAGTGGCCAATGGGAGGCCTCGTTACTAACCCAGCGGCCAATAGGGTGCCGTGTTGATACTCACTGATAGGCTGGACGGTGATCTGGACATTGCGTGACCTCTTGCTCCGGTCTATAAAGTCCCCGGTGGGTGTCTTCTCCCTCTCTGTGACCCTACAGATGTATTTCCCAGCATCCTCTGGTCGGAGGCGCTGCAGCTTAAGCAGGTGCACAGCGGGGCTCTCCTTGCGCACGGTCATGTGACCAGCGGCCTCGCGCGACACATAGTCGGGTCCCAGGACGGGCACAGCGCTGGGCCCTATCACGGCCACTGGCGAGCTGCTGAACACCCACGACACCGAGAAGAAGCGCTCGGGCACGCTCTGGGCATCGATGGTGCAGCGTAGCTCCAGCGGCTCGCCCGCCGTGAAGGACCGCCGCTCCGTGCTCACCTGGATAGAGAAGTCCCGATCTGGGGGTGGGAGTGGGGAATAAAAGAGAGAGATAAAATGAGTTGCAAAGCAGTTGAAGCAGTTGAGCTCCTCCCGTCTCCAGAGAGCACAATGTGTCAACACATCTTTATACTCCAGTCCCTAATCAAAAGAGAAATATGTTAATGGATGGGGGGGGTTTACACAAGGAGTCAACTATGCCCACAGCAAAGCACTGCTCCTCCAGCCTCCTCCTCTCCTCCTCCTTCTCTCCCCTTGGTTTCCCCACCAAGACAAAAACACAGCCAATTAAGATTCTCTCCAGCAGACGAAAAAAGCCTTGCCGCTCCACTCCCCTCCCCTCCCTCGCTCTTCCTGCGCTGTTTGAGACAGAAGAGAGAGGAGATGGAGCAAATATTGTTAGCGCAGCCTTCACTGCCTACACCTCTTTGACTGGGCTCCCAATTACAGATGCACTCCACATACGGCGGCACTAGCTTTTTATTTACAGTATTCATTTCCACATGATGAGTGGCGGTGGGCTCTGTGCATCTCTCCCTCTCCGCTCCTCTCTGCCTGGCTCACTCAGAGAGGTGCTAGCCCCCGGCTGTAATAAAGACTTTAAACAGACTTGTGGAAAAGTTCAGACTGCTGTTTGCCTGGGTATGGTTCCTTATGTTGGGAAGTGTTATGGGAATAGGGGAGGGGGCGACTGTTCAAAATCAAATGTTATTCGTCACATGCTTCGTAAACAACAGGTGTAATGCTTACTTACGGGCCCTTCCCAACAATGCAGAGACAAAAAGAATAGAGCTATAATAGAAAATAAAATAATAAATACACAATGAGTAATGATAACTTGGCTATATACACAGGGTACCAGTACAGAGTTGATGTGCAGGGGTACGAGGTAATTGAGGTAGATATGTACATATAACTAGGAATAAAGTGACAGATAGTAAACAGTAGCAGCAGGATATGTGATGAGTCAAAAACGTTAGTGCAAAAAGGGTCAATGCAGATAGTCTGGGTAGCTATTTGGTTAACTATGTAGCAGTCTTATGGCTTTGGGGTAGTTGGGGGGACTGTTTACACACACACATAGTGAGCTTTCATACTGGACGCTTGTCTGTAAATAACACTGAGCCTAATAGCTAACAGTCTGGCACTAACTGGACAGATACACGCATACTTACACACAGACACACACACGCATATTGCATCCCCCTCCTAACACACACACACACACACACACACAGCTCATCACTAATAGAGTGGAAAGCAGATGCCAAAACAAAGGCCAGTGGCGATCTGGCCCTCGCTGACCAATGAAGCGGCAGTATATTGCATTGTGAAATCAGAGCTGGGCTGACTGTAAACTCAAGGAACTGTGACCTGCTTTATAAGGACACTGCCTCAACTTAGAGTTTAACAACAAACACAGCCATGGGAGACTAGGTCGTATTCACTAGGCACGAAACTGAAGCAAACAGGCCGAAATGGGGAGGTACTATCTCAACTTGTCCAATAAGAAATACTTGTTAACGTTTTCCTTGGCACAAGTGTTTGAAACGTTTTGCTATGATGGGTCCTAATGAATACATCCTAAACTGTGTCAGGGAAATGTTGAGGGGTGAGAGACACAGAGAAAGAGAGGAGCTAATAGTGGAGACATGTACCCGTCAATGTTTGGAACAAATTAAACATGTAAAGAAAGTGAGAGAACATAGACAATCAGATGCAGAGAGGGAGAGAGGGAGAGAGAGAGAGACATTTGAAATGTCTTTATTCTTTTGAAACTTCTGAGTGTAATGTTTACTGTTAATATTTATTGTTTATTTCACTTTTGTTTACTATCTACTTCACTTGCTTTGGCAATGTTAACACACGTTTCCCATGCCAATAAAGCCCTTAAATTGAAATTGAAATTGAATTGAAATTGAAATTGAAATTGAATTGAATTGAGAGAGAAGAAAACAAGTAGAGAGAGGACTTAAATGCAGGAGTTAGGGAGTGAGAGAGTTGGGAAAAGAGACAGGGAGCAAAGGGGAGAGATGGTTTTAGAGCGAGAAAGGTAACATGAGGGATGTAAAGAGGAGTGAGGTCGAGAGATGGAAAGAGAAGGAGAGGTCCATTAGGATTCTGTCCATGTCTGGCCTCTCCTCTCTGTCTGTGGGTGATTAGCCAGTGATGGGGCTGTCTCTGGATCCTCTCTCTCTCTTCAATACACACAGCCTAATGAAGGAGCCATACACACACACACACACATCCTGATCTACACCCTTTGTCACACTACAACACTCCCATCCATTATAGATTATAAGAGAGAGAGAGAGGGTGAACAGAGAGAGAAGAGAGGGGGTGTAAGAGGCAGAGCTTTTTGTGCCTCTCCTGGCTGACTTAACACTCTTCTGAGACACAGAGACCCTTCATATCCAACATCCTCTGATCACCATCTGGGGCAGCATCAACCACCGGAGGTTCAGAGAGTTCACTGCTCACAGGAGGAAAACAAAAATGTTTCCATTGTTGCAAATGCTTAAGAATCAATGAATAATTCCACCGCCATTCTGCTAATAATCAGTCATCATAATAGATCTACTGGAATAGTGTTCCTGGAACTGTAGAAACACACCATTGTTCTATAGCGTACAGTAGCCCTGTATTTAATGTTGTGTGTTTCAGTGTGTGTGTGTGTGTTTCTGTGTGTGTGTTTCAGTGTGTGTGTGTGTGTGTGTTTCAGTGTGTGTGTGTGTGTGTGTTCAGTGTGTGTGTGTGTGTGTGTGTGTGTGTGTTTCAGTGTGTGTGTGTGTGTTTCAGTATGTGTGTGTGTTTCAATATGTGTGTGTGTGTGTGTTTCAGTATGTGTGTGTGTGTGTGTGTGTGTGTGTGTGTGTGTGTGTGTATTTCAGTGTGTGTGTGTGTGGCTAAGACTGCTCTTGTTCCCGGTCTGCTGGGTTGGAGAGGTCGACAGCTTATTATCAGATCATTATAACAAGAAGCCATCTCCACACCTCTCCCTAGGGCAGTGAAGGTAATTGGATAACAGTGACACTGACGGTTTTGGATGAAGACCGTCATGAAAATAGAACCGTTTTTTTATTTTTTATTTTTTTTTAAATAAAATGTTTTATCAACTTAATTTTATTATAGATATTCTTTACCCAAAACGGGAGTGTTAACTATTGATTATATGGTATTGTTTTGCTAACTTTGTCTATTAAACTGTATACATCTCCTCTTCTTTCCAACTATCTGTTGATGCGCAATCAGCAAATCCACTATATGCGTGAATAGGAGAGAATTGAAGGTCAATTCAGTTCATTGAAGAGGGGAAGGGGTGGGGTGAAAAGTGGGAACTTATTGATTACTTTATAATGAATGTATATGTTGGGGTCAATGGAGGGTGGATAAGAACTAGGTGTATGGAAAGTTAATCAGTGGATCCTATGGAGGGAGGCAGAGGGCAACAGTCTGGTTTCAGTCACTGATAAGGTAGGCCAGCCGTTGATTAGGGAGGAGTGAGGAATTCGGCCTGAGGTCAGGTCAGATGAAGTGAGGAGGAACAGTCCTATCACACACATATACTTGCATACCCACAAAGGTTCTAGCAGGAGGCGGTGCCATGACTATACCAGTGAGAGGAACCAATTCAGTTTCTGATTAGCAACAGTCAGGAACTGAATTGTTGGCTATCTAGATATGCGAGGTGACTCCTCCTAGTAGGAGGGTATAAATATATGTGCTTGTGTAAACATGTCTTTGTCTTTGCAGCCGTTTGACCCAGTGGGTGAATAAACTTGGTTTAATCTTTTCCTTGTCATCCATTTCAGTTTTTACTCTGTCTGTTTAGAACCTAACAATGGATAGCCTCTGACCTTCACCTCTGACCTTTTTCATCGAATCTCCGAGCTGACAAGGTAAAAATCTGTCGTTTCGCCCCTGAGCAAGGCAGTTAACCAATTGTTCCCCGGGCGCCGAAGACGTGGATATCGATTAAGGCAGCCCTCCACACCTCTCTGATTCAGAGGGGTTGGGTTAAATGCCCAATACATTTCAGTTGAATGCATTCAGTTGTACAACTGACTAGATATCCCCCTTTCCTTTTCCATTTCTCTTTTTTCATTGTTACAGTACATCAGAGGAGTGAGGTGAAAAGGATGTCTCTCATTGCATAAAAAAAACGTTACATCGCCTATTTGGGCACATTTCGATTTCAAACCTAACGACGATGGAGAACCAGATGACTTGGACCAGCCTGCTTGCAGAATATGTGCAAAACCCATAGGCTACCTACTAAGAATTCCAGCACCACAAACGGGACACTGATAAGTGGCGAGCACTGACAGACAGTGTAACTCGTTACGTAGTCATAGGAATGGTGCTCTTCAGAACGGTGGAGAAACCCACCTTCATAGAAATGCTCTGGAAATTTGACAGACTATACAAGTTACCGGGGAGAAAGTATTTCTCTCAAACAGCGGCCCCTACCTTGTTCAACAAGGTGAAGGGGGAGGTTCAAACAGAGCTAAAGGACGTCCATTTTTTTACACTGACCACGGACATGTGGTCAAGTGTAAATATGACTCCTTAAATGAGCTTGACAGTGCACTATCTCACGAAAGACTGGACACTGAAATCCTGCTGTTTGGAAACAACCTACACAGCCGGAATCCTACACAGCCGACTACCTGGCCGAAGCCCTGTGTTGGGGATTGCTTGACTGGGCCCTTGACGAAAATAAACTGTCCTGTATGACCACACACAACTGGGCCAACATTGTGGCTGAAGTGAGGACAACTGAACTGGCCTTGGCAAAAAAAAAAATGTTTATGCAGCTAATCTCTCCAGTCATATAAAGTGGAGTAGAATTGCATGAAATGTTTTCATAAAAGGCCACATTTTTCCTGTGTAAAGAAAGGAGAAGCAACATATCTGATATTGCATAGCCTAGGCCTATACTCTACCACGCGCTGCATTTAACAGTCTTTTTTGCAAACAGTGATTGGGTTATATTATTAAACTAAATTATGACTATCCAATTTACTAATGACATTAGGAATAGTCATCTATCTTACATAAGTATGCAAATGTGATGATGCACGGAATGCTTTATATTTTTTATAATATAATATAATAATAATATGCCATTTCGCAGACGCTTTTATCCAAAGCGACTTACAGTCATGCGTGCATACATTTTTTTTGTGTATGGGTGGTCCCGGGGTTCGAACCCACTACCTTGGCGTTACAAGCGCCGTGCTCTACCAGCTGAGCTACAGAGGACCATGAAAATGTGCTTCCCCAAACTTGAGACTCACGCGCCTAAGAGCAAGACAGTTAGGCCTAAATGCGCTAATGTTGTTCCTTTGCTTAGTGGGAGATTGTGATCTGCATTCAAAAAGAGTGTGTGTGTGTGTGTGTGTGTGTATGTGTGTGACTCACACTCCCATCTCCCCCTACTCACCAATGGGCTGTATCCGTAGCTGGGTCTTATCGGCCTGCTTGCGGGTCATGGTGAACCAGCTGCGGTCGGGGTCCTGGATCCACTCTGCAGCCTGGCAGTAGAGAAGACCCTGGTCAGCAGGCTGCAGCCGGTGGATAGTCAGCCTGTAGGATGTAGCGCTGGTCTTATCCAGCCTCAGGTCTCCTGCAGTCATCCTCTGTTTGTAAGGCCCACCGGCCCGGAGGACAAAGTCCCGGGACAGGGTGAGGATCTCCTGGGGCGACACAGTAGCGTCCTCAGGGGAACGCAGGTACCAACCAACAGACAGGTGTGTGTGCTGCTCTGTCGCCCGGGAAACCTCGCAGCTGAGCTGGAGCGTGTCACCCTCCACCTGGGAGAGGGTCTGTGTCGGCGCGGTGACAGCGAGGGAGTCGGGGATGACTGCAGGAGGAGAAGAGGAAGAACAGAGAAGAGATGAGTGTCACATCGGTGGTTCTGTGGCATGCGATGGCTCACAGGTGGAGCACATCGTTTGGTTGGCGCATGGATCAGAGTTGTGGCTTTCATTCCTACATTTACATATTTCAACTTTAAGTGGCTTTATATGAAAGCATCTGCTATATGACCTTATTGTTGTTATATTTCTATTACATCAGTTGACACCTTCCCCTAGCGTATAGCATAACCCTCTCAGACATACAGGGCATGCACGTACGCACACACACAGTGTTCAACCAGCCAGGGTACGTTCTCCTAAATGACAGCCTAGCACTGTGAAGCCTCAGACGGAGCTTTTCCCTGTAGGTGGACCAGATCACACACTCCAAATATACAGACAATGTATTTGGAATGAGAACACATTTCAGAATGAGCTACTACGTATAGCTGACAACAGAAAGAATCAAACTCTTCCGGTTAAGAACAGAGAGTAAAGGAGGGAGAGGAGACAGAGACATGACAGGTTTAGGAGGGAGAAGTGGTAAAACCCTCTATACATCTCCAGAAATTGCTCTGGAGACAGGGCTCGGTGGGCGGCAGGATTATTCTGGGATGGAAGACTATGACATGTCCCAGCAGCAGGGTGTGTGTGTGTTTCTCTCAATTGACTTGTGAAGCTTAACACTGTAATATCATATTTTATAACTTAGCTATGTTGGCATTTTTTATGGGCAGTTTTTGGATCGCGTAAACAACAACAATAATTGTGTGATGGCGGTGATGCAGGGTTGTTCCAAACAAAACAAATCTACAAGTGTGTTTGCTCTAGTTCCTCAACGGCACAGCTAGGAGAGCTCAAAAAAGCACCTTATAGTTGAAGACTGAGTCAAAAGTGCATTGAAATTACTTTGGAGAGTTGTGTGGCCACTTGGAGACACCAGTTAGTCCTCTCACTTGTCATTTTTTTGTCTTATGTTGCACCTACCCCACATTCTCCAGGAATATTCTTATGTTACTGAATGTATCAAGAGTATTTTCAGATTGTGTTATCAACAAATGTGGCAAAAAGTACAGAAAATGCCAAATGCACATAAAATCAACAAGTGTAATGTTTGGATTCAGTCTTGTGTCAGGTGAACTGTTGTGTCCTCAACTTTGGTCTAATAATTTTCCCATAATCTCCAATGTGTTCCCTTTCAAGTTCTACCATGCTGATGCATTTCATATTTATTTTGTAAGAAACATTTCAATTTAGCCCTATCCATATAGCCAATTCCCACGAGTGTAACGGGTTAATACATCCTATCTGAATGTCTGTCAGTTGGATTCATATCCTGTTTAGGTTATATTATCTCAGTGGGAAATGGCTAATCTAACCGGTCAGGAGCAGTGGGGACTGTGATGTGGTTTAGATCTAATGACAGAGACCACAGCGAAGACAAACAAACACACACATACACACACACACACACAGCCTCAAAGTGTATAAAGACATCAGTGTATAAGACACAATGGGTAGCAGCAGCAGCAGTCATCCTTTTAGCTGGCCTGGACAAATGAATGGAGGATGGAATAATGCAGGGCCTGGGAGTAGGCTTTCCAGTAATTCAGTGTGGTATTGTCAAGCCCTGGTTAAGATGCTTGGCTATTCAAGGGCTTTGTCAAGATGTATGGTATTGGAGTGCATTGTGCACCAGGCGCATGGTATTGAAGTGCTCTGTAGATTTTAAGCATTGTAATTGTTGAGATGTCACATGGGCTAGTTTCAAGCCTGGAGGTATCCATCTATCCTGAAGTTATCCTGGTATGACTGAGCACAGATGCTAAAAACAGCTTGATCTCTCTCGCTTTGTACGAGTGTGTGTCTGCGTGTGTGTGTGTGTTTGTGCGCGTGTGTATGTATGTATGTGTGTGTGTGTGTGTGTGTGTGTGTGTGTGTGTGTGTGTAGATTGAGATTCAGAGACATATCAGGAACAATAGAGACAGCCACCACTAATGAAATGAGGGAACAAAGATGGAGAGATCAGAGAAAAGATATAGAAGAGTGGGAGGATCTCTGTTCAACATCAGGTTACTGCAGTTTATCAAGGCACTGGGAAGAATAACACAACATGAGAGAGAGACAGATGAAAAACGACAGGAAATACAGTAATTAGTTTGATTTCAATCCCACTGAAATAGTGGCTACGTAGGCTCCGGAAATGGAATGGAATATTTACCATGCTAGTATCCAGATTTGGGTTATATTGAACTGAAATGACTTGGAATTAAACTGAAATATGTTGAAATTGACCTGAATTAACAATTAATTAGTTATAGTATAAAATAAATAGAGCCTACACACTCAAAAGCTTCACCACTGGTTATACAGTCATAACATAGTATATACACTGAGTGTACAAAACATTAAGAACATCTGCTCTTTCCATGACAGACTGACCAGGTGAAAGCTATGATCCCTTATTGATGCCACTTCAATCAGTGTAGATGAAGGGGCGTAGACAGGTTAAAGAAGGATTTTTAAGCCTTGAGAAAATTGAGACATGGACTGTGTATGTGTGCCATTCAGAGGGTGAATGGGCAAGACAGAAGATGTAAGTGCCTTTGAACGGGGTATGATAGTAGGTGTCAGGTGCATCGGTTTGTGTCAAGAACTGCAACGCTGCTAGGTTCACACGCTCAACAGTTTCCTGTGTGTATCAAGAACGGTCCACCACCCAAAGGGCATCCATCCAACTGTGGAAAGCATTGGAGTCAACATGGGCCAGCATCCCTATAGAACGCTTTCGAAACCTTGTAGAGTCCATGCCCCGACGAATTGAGGCTGTTCTGAGGTCAAAAGGGGGGTGCAACTCAATATTAGTGTTTTATACATTCAGTGTAAATATTATTGTTCTTGTGTTGCCCTTTTCAACTTAAAGATGTAGAGACTGCCTTAATTGGTGCTTGTCTTATGTCTATCAATATGGGTCTGGTACACTTCCGGTGAAATGACTTGATGAAGATCCTTGCAGGATAGAAACGTTGTGTGTTTATTAATAAAGGTTAGTGACGGTGTGGGCTCTATTTCTTTTATACCAACTTTTTTCACCCCACTAAAGGATGTGTGTTTGATCACACTTTACTATTAAATAAGTTATAGGCAATCCCTGTCACTAAGGGGAAAGTCTTTTATGAAGTCTCTGAACGATGGAGGCTTGATATGGGAGTCTCCTTATGATGCATGTGATACATAAGGCATTTCAGATTCTGTCTGAACGCTATGTAGGGAGAGAAGGTTCAAAGGCATGACGGATGCCTCATTTGGTGAGTAAAAAGCCTAGTAGAGATAACCTCTCACACACAGAGACCACACTACTAGTATTGTTTGTGCAACAGCTTGTTCTTAAATCAGAGGAAAAGGTGAAGAATATTATAAAATCTTTGTTTGAATGTATCTAGAGAGGACGAGGCGAAGAGAGAGGTTTTACCCTGCCCAAAATCTGTCCACGAAAAATAAGCCTACAAAGTGAGGATTTTTTTTACGGAGCTCAATGAGACTGTCGAATTTGGTCAACAAATTTTTTTATTGCTCATTTGTTACGTGAGGCTTATTTGAATGAAAAATAGTTTTGTAATGGTTAGGTTGTTACGAATGCACTGACATAAGTGGACAAACGTGGCATTTCGCCAATGTTGAAAAACAACTTTATACTGGTGTTATGCCCGTTGTCATAGAGATAGAGGACTCATCATGGATATAACCCGTTTTAACAAGGACAATGCGATTGAGGGCTTCCACCATTTTAAAGTAGTCATCTGGGTGGGGATTCCTATGAGTTTGGAGCAATCAGACAATGAAGAAGAAAATTGAATACCTTAAAATGGAGATTGCCTCAATCCTCTACCTCTATGGTGTGGTGTTCACACTTGTATCTGCCCTCTCAATGGCTAGAATGGTCCCCCCTGATATCATCTCCTCCCGCCTCCCTTCCATCTTTGAGGACATGTATTTCCATTGTTAGAGTGGTCAATTGACTATCTTGTCAATATCATTGACAATCTTTGATGTACCTGTCTATTCAAATCTATACTGAACAAAAATATAAACACAATGTGTTGGTAAAGTGTTGGTCCCATGCTTCATGAGCTGAAATAAAAGATCCCAGAAATTTTCCATATGCACAAAAAGCTTATTTCTAACAAAATTGTCTGCACAAATGTGTTTACATCCCTGCTAGTGAGCATTTCTCCTTTGCCAAGATAATCCATCCACCTGACAGGTGTGGCATATCAATAAACTGATTAAACAGCATGATCATTACACAGGTGCACCTTGTGCTGGGGAAAATAAAAGGCCACTCTAAAATGTACAGTTTTGTCACACAACACAATGCCACAGATGTCTCAAGTTGAGGGAGCGTGCAATTGGCATGCTGACTGCAGGAATGTCCACCAGAGCTGTTGCCAGAGAATGTAATGTTAATTTCTCTACCATAAGCCGCCTCCAGCGTCGCTTTAGAGAATATGGCAGTACGTCCAACCGACCATGTGTAACCACGCCAGCCCAGGACCTCCACATCCGGCTTTCTTCACCTGCGGGATCATCTGAGACCAGCCACCCAGACAGCTGATGAAACTGAGGAGTATTTCTGCTTGTAATAAAGCCCTTTTGGGGTGAAAAACTCATTCGGATTGGCTGGGTCTGGCTCCCAAGTGGGTGGGCCTATGCACTCCCAGGCCAATGCCCAGTCATGTGAAATCCATAGATTAGGGCCTAATGGATTTATTTCAATTGACTGATTTCCTTATATGCACTTTAACTCAGTAAAATCGAAGAAATTGTTGCATGTTGAGTTTATATTTCTGTTCAGTATAATTAGGGTCCCATGGGAAACACTGACCAACACTTTGGTTCCTACTCTGTCACAACCATCTCCTCCCTTACTTTTAATTAATTGTAATGCCAAACAAAACTGCATTCCAAGTGCCCACTGTATTCCAACCATCAAATTAGAATGGTTTATGTATTTTTATGATTCCAACAGTTTACCCAAGTGTTTTGATCTATAATCAATTGTGGTCACAATATTTGGTGAAAAAACAGAGGCAATTCTATTTTTTGGCCCATATCGTGCAGCCCTAGTAAACACAGATGTGATCTCCTTGAGATTCTCCTAGTCACTCTTTGACCTCAATCTGAGCAAGATTAAGGATGAGGCGATGCACACATGCACGATGTGCAAGCCCACGCACATACACTACTGGAGTGTGGGCTTGGCCTAAATCTGGGAGAGAATTCAAGGACAGGCACTTGGCCAAACCCATACTACTGCTGCTAGTAGGTGGATTTGTTTTCTCTTAAGTAAGAGATAGTACTATGATGAACAGTCTAGAAACAGGCTACAATCACAACTTGTTCACATCCGGTGGTTGGCATGATCACAGTCATGAAATTATATGATTTTATTTCACCACCCACCAGATTTTCCATTGGCATTGGCTAACATGCCATTACGGTCTCACTGTAAACCAGGGATAGATTTTTTGTGGCACCCAGCCCCATCAAAGTTTCCCATAAACTGTAAACAATGACATCCGGTTTGGCCATATCGCCATGAGTCACTTGTCTGAACACGTCGCCAGGCGCAGTAAATAACAGTGGGTGTGTGGGCTGGAAAATTGGCCTCTTCTTCTTCCACCTCACTTTCTCGTCGCCCCCTTTCACTACATCTCTTTAGCCCCCCCTTGCTTTCTCCCCTCTTGTTATTCTGACCCATCTCTCTTCCACCCCATATCCCTCATCCCCCTCTCTCCATTTCTCTTCCACCCCCTCTCCCACATTTCTCTCTCTGAAGTGTTGTCGCTGGTCCCTCTGGCCGGCCTTTCATGTAGTGTCCCACAACATCAGAGAGAGGGATGACATGGCCAGATAATCGAGGGAGGAAAAGAGAGACGGAGAGACAGAAATAGGGGTAAAGATGATAACTTGAGCAGTTTGATCTGCAATGTCGACTTCAAACCCCTTATCCTAACATCAAACCTTTATTTAACCATTGAAGTTACACTGAAGAAATTCTCTTTTTGAACAAGACCAGAAGGAGTAGATTAAAATATTGTGTGTGTGTGAGTGAGTGTTCCTATCGACTGTGATGGGTCAACCCTCATTATCAGATGTCTTGTAATGGGAACTGCATATTACAAGACTTAATGGACTGAGTCACTAAGTGCCCACTGACACAAAAGTACCAGTACTAATCCATGCATTACGTTACCGTCAATAGCTTGTTATCAATAAAATGTCACAATACCGTGCAGAGCGTTCGAGAGGCACCCCCAGCTCCGCTAAACCATTGACAACTATGTGCCGTTTTTTAAGGGATTGTTAAATAAATGTTTAGTTGTAATTTCATCACCTCTTGAAGAGCATTGTCAGAACTACACATTTCCGATTATTCCACATTTAGCTCTATCATCAGTTATACAGGAAGTAACTGCCGAGTGGCGCAGTGGTCTAAGGCGCTGCATCGCAGTGCTAGCTGTGCCACTAGAGATCCTGGTTCGAATCCAGGCTCTGTCGTAGCCGGCCGTGACCGGGAGTCCCATGGGGCGGCGCACAATTGGCCCGGCGTCGTCCAGGGTAGGGGAGGGAATGGCCGGCAGGGATGTAGCTCAGTTGGTAGAGCATGGCGTTTGCAACGCCAGGGTTGTGGGTTCGATTCCCAGTATGAAAAATTAAAAAATAATGTATGCACTCACTAACTGTAAATCGCTTTGGATAAGAGCGTCTGCTAAATGACTAAAATGTAAATGTAACTGCATGCTTTTCAGCACCAGTAAACTTCAATTGATAACATCATTTCAGATGTGTGAGGGTAGCCTATCCATTTGGCATGTAGCTAGCTAGCAAAGCAAACAACATTTAGCTTGCTTCATCTGAGATTAGGCTTTTGAAAAGAGCTTGACATCAGCAAGTCCTGGTAAAGTTGTCAGTCGGAGTACTGTCATCAACACATATATACAGTGAGGGAAAAAAGTATTTGATCCCCTGCTGATTTTGTACGTTTGCCCACTGACAAAGAAATGATCAGTCTATAATTTTAATGGTAGGTTTATTTGAATGTTGAGAGACAGAATAACAACAAAATAATCCAGAAAAACACATGTCAAAAATTTTATAAATTGATTTGCATTTTAATGAGGGAAATAAGTATTTGACCCCCTCTCAATCAGAAAGATTTCTGGCTCCCAGGTGTCTATTATACAAGTAACGAGCTGAGATTAGGAGCACACTCTTAAAGGGAGTGCTCCTAATCTCAGTGTGTTACCTGTATAAAAGACACCTGTCCACAGAGCAATCAATCAATCAGATTCCAAACGCTCCACCATGGCCAAGACCAAAGAGCTCTCCAAGGATGTCAGGGACAAGATTGTAGACCTACACAAGGCTGGAATGGGCTACAAGACCATTGCCAAGCAGCTTGGTGAGAAGGTGACAACAGTTGGTGTGATTATTCGCAAAAGGAAAAAACACAAAATAACTGTCAAATCTCCCTCGGCCTGGGGCTCCATGCAAGATCTCACCTTGTGGAGTTGCAATGATCATGTGAACGGTGAGGAATCAGCCCAGAACTACACGGGAGGATATTGTCAATGATCTCAAGGCAGCTGGCACCATAGTCACCAAGAAAATAATTGGTAACTCACTACGCCGTGAAGGACTGAAATCCTGCAGCGCCCGCAAGGTCCCCCTGCTCAAGAAAGCACATATAGAGGCCCGTCTGAAGTTTGCCAATGAACATCTGAATGATTCAGAGGAGAACTGGGTGAAAGTGTTGTGGTCAGATGAGACCAAAATCGAGCTCTTTGGCATCAACTCAACTCGCCGTGTTTGGAGGAGGAGGAATGCTGCCTATGACCCCAGGAACACCATCCCCACCGTCAAACATGGAGGTGGAAACATTATGCTTTGGGGGTGTTTTTCTGCTAAGGGGACAGGACAACTTCACCGCATCAAAGGGATGATGGACGGGGCCATGTACCGTCAAATCTTGGGTGAGAACCTCCTTCCCTCAGCCAGGGCATTGAAAATGGGTCATGGATGGATATTCCAGCATGACAATGACCCAAAACACACAGCCAAGGCATCAAAGGAGTGGCTGAAGAAGAAGCACATTAATGTCCTGGAGTGGCCTAGCCAATCTCCAGACCTTAATCCCATAGAAAATCTATGGAGGGAGCTGAAGGTTCGAGTTGCCAAACGTCAGCCTCGAAACCTTAATGACTTGGAGAAGATCTGCAAAGAGGAGTGGGACAAAATCCTTCCTGAGATGTGTGCAAACCTGGTGGCCAACTACAAGAAACGTCTGACCTCTGTGATTGCCAACAAGGGTTTTGACACCAAGTACTAAGTCATGTTTTGCAGAGGGGTCAAATACTTATTTCCCTCATTAAAATGCAAATCAATTCATAACATTTTTGACATGCGTTTTTCTGGATTTTTTTGTTGTTATTCTGTCTCTCACTGTTCAAATAAACCTACCATTAAAATTATAGACTGATCATGTCTTTGTCAGTGGGCAAACGTACAAAATCAGCAGGGGATCAAATACTTTTTTCCCTCACTGTATGAGATTCTTCAAATAGCCACCCTTTGCCTTGATGACAGCTTTGGACACTCTTGGCATTCTCTCAACCAGCTTTATGAGGTAGTCACCTGGAATGCATTTCAATTAACAGGTGTGCCTTCTTAAAAGTTAATTTGTGGAATTTCTTTCCCTCTTAATGCATTTCAGCCAATCAGTTGATTTGTGACAAGGTAGGGGGGTATATAGAAGATAGCCCTATTAGAACAGATCAAATAAGCAAAGAGAAACGACAGTCCATCATTACTTTAAGACATGAAGGTCAGTCAATACGGAACATTTCAAGAACTTTGAACGTTTCTTCAAGTGCAGTCGCAAAAACCATCAAGCGCTATGATGAAACTGGCTCTCATGAGGACCACCACAGGAATGGAAGACCCAGAGTTACCTCTGCTGCAGAGGATAAGTTCATTAGAGTTACCAGCCTTAGAAATTGCAGCCCAAATAAATGCTTCACAGAGTTCACGTCACAGACACATCTCAACATCAACTGTTCAGAGGGGACTGTGTGAATCAGGCCTTCATGGTCGAATTGCTACTAAAGGACAGCAATAAGAAGAAGAGACCTGCTTGGGCCAAGAAACATGAGCAATGGACATTGGACAGGTGGAAATTTGTCCTTTGGTCTGGAGTCCAAATTGGAGATTTTTGGTTCCAACCGCAGTGTCTTTTTGAGTGCGGTGTGGGTGAACGGATGATCTCCGCACGTGTAGTGTGTGATGGTTTAGGGGTGCTTTGCTGGTGACACTGTCTGTGATTTATTTAGAATTCAAGGCACACTTAACCAGCAAAGGGCTACTTTGAAGAATCTCAAATATAAAATATATTTTGATTTGTTTAACAGTTTTTTGGTTACTACATGATCCCTATGTGTTTTTATAGTTTTGATGTCTTCACAATTTAAACATTCATACAATGACAGCAATACAGAAAACAACTAGTTAAAAATAACAACAGAAACACAACATCTACGCAGACAACACAGACATTACAGGATAGGGACAGTCACAACCTTCCATACAGACTGACAGAATACTCGACAAACACACAACACACACACACACAACCCCAGACACACAACACACACACACACACACACCACACAACAACAACACACACAAAAACAACATACATATAAGCCCATACATAGACATACATACATACTACACTGACACAGTAACATACTAGCAACATATACAGGATACATACATACTACAACATTAAGACTACTACGACATCAACTTAATGACATACAGACAGTCTACAACAATATTAGCCCTCTAGTTTATTGAACGTTACTAGCCATATTACGTTCTGTGTCACGCATTGACAGGCATCGTAGATTTGTCAACACAATTGATTAACATGTTGAAAAGGAGATGCTAGGTAACTTTGCTAGGTAGGCTTACATTGGTTGGAGAAAAAAGTACATTAGGTCTACTTATCGCTCTATGTTTAGCCAACTGTACAAAGTTTCTACCGGTAGCTTGCAAATTAAACATTATCAGCTACATCGGCAAATGCGCCCTTCTGCTGCTTGACAGGGGGAGCCCACGAAGGATGGGAAATTAACCTAAACCACTCATACTTAATAATAATAACAATAATAATAATAATAATAATAAGCCATTTAGCAGACACTTTTATCTAAAGCGACTTACAGTCATGCGTCATGCGTGGTCCCAGGGATCGAACCCACTACCCTGGCGTTACAAGCGCCATGCTCTACCAATTGAGCTACAAAGGACCACCCATACTATACTTGTCAGGTATAGTTATTTTATTTTATATTACTCAAATATCAAATTTATGGTGGCCAATATTGAGAGATATCCTGAGGCTACCCTCTGAAATTACATGATCAATTGATGTTTACTGACCATGAAAAGCATTCAGTTACTTGCTGTATAACTCTGATGATTGGAGCTAAATGTGCGCAATTGTTTTGCATGGAATAACCGGAAATTTGTAGTTCTGACTATGCTCTTCAAGAGGTGACAATACTACAACCAAATAGTTAACACTTATTTAACAATCCCTTGAAAACGGCACACAGTTGTCAATGGTTTTAGCAGAGCTGGGAATCTCCTTGCCCCCAAGCTGGCAAATCGAACGCTCTGAACCTTATTGTGACATTTTATTGATAACAACCTCTAGGCATGGAAATGTGAAGAGGGGCAAACAGACATTACAGAACATAATATCACTATAAGAGAAGGAGAACGGCAGAGGACACGGAAGGCTAATTTGCAGTAATTGCTCTGTGAGAAATGGAGGTTGCTGCTGAGAGGAAAATGGAGAAGATGGGAGGAAAATGGAGAAGATGGGTGATACTTCTCAACTCTACTCTAAGTGTGTGTGTGTGTGTGTGTGTGTGTGTGTGTGTGTGTGTGTGTGTGTACAGAAGCAGTATACAAATCCAGTGATGACTAGAGGAATGGGCAAATGTTTAGTCTCTCTGTCTTTCCCTCTCCCTCCTTCTCTCACTAAGGCCAAGAGCTAGTGGTGAGAGAGGGATGAATACATTCTGAGGATTAGCAGGAGAACGAGGATGATGATGCAGATGGTGATGAAGATCAAAGAGAGGATGAAGAGAAGATTGAGGAAGAGGATGATGAGTGTTCCTCATGCACACACAGCGGGATGCTCAGAGATTTTGAGCCTCACAGCTGGAGGTGCAAAAACTGCTTTAGAGGTTGAGTGAACGTTCTCTCTCCCTCCATCTCTCTTGCTCTCTCTTGCTCTGTCTGTCTGCCTGTCTGTTTGTCTGTCTGCCTGCCTGCCTGCCTGCGTGTGTGTCACACACACACAAACACATAAATACTTTCTTCTATCACAGGAGACTAGAGAGCAAAAAGCTTTTAACATAGACCACACTTGGAATAATGAGAAAAACAATCCCTCATCACTAGAGCTGTGAAGACAAAACACAACCTCAAACATGACTGTGTGTACAGATGAGAGAGAGGGGAGAGGGTGAGTGGAAGAAAAGAGAGACAGGGTGTCTAAAGTGTTGGATGTAGGGCCACAGCAAGGGGCACATTCATAATACAACACTAGAGATGAAGGCATGAGCCATACTGCCTGTAAACACTGTCTGCGTATGTGTGTGTCTGTGTGTGTGTACTCTCAAGAACTTATCCCAAGCCATCTCTTACGTCTTTATTTAATTTTTTTTGCAGCCCACATGAAGTCAGACACAGCGCTATAAAAACAGTGTCAAATTATCTCAAATTTGAACAGAGGAGACCGAGGGAGGGATAAAGAGAGTAAGGGAGGAAAAGAAGGAGATGGAGAAAGGATGACAAGCCACAGCAGGAAATGGGTCTGAGCTATTCAATGAGACATCTCTCTTCCTGCTAATGGAGTAACCCCATACAGGTGGTGTGTGTGTGTGTGTGTGTGTGTCACTGACTGCAACCCACATGACGTGGAGGCTGTACTGTTAAATAAGGGCCTCTGAATCATCCTCTCCTCTCTCTCCATCTTTCTTTTTCACACTCCCCCTCTCACTCTCCAAATTCTCTGCATTTTCACACAATTTACTCCTTCACGCTCTCCACACTCTTTCTGCCCTCTCTCTCACATTGTCTTGTGGTTTTCTCTTTCGTTAGCCAAGCTGCTTGTCAGCACCCAATTATCACTTTTATGTTGTTCTCACTCTGCTCCTCCCCCTATCCTCCTCTCAATCATACAACACAGACTGGCTGATATTTCTACTACTGTACAATGCATTGTAGTTACACTGTTTATAAAAACCGCATATGTATCTATATAATGGATTCTTGACATAACTCACTCTAATATAGCTACTGCAGTACATATTCTAAGTATATCTTGTTTAAATTCATCAGGTGTGTATACGTCTAGATTGCATTTGGATTACTGTTACAGTGCTATTTGGGTTGTTAATTGGATTGGTTCCGACATTTCTTGATGTGTGTTTTTATTTTATTTTTTTAGAATATTTGTCTACTTGTTTGACATTTTACTGCATTGTTAGGAGCTAGTAACAAGCATTTCGCTGCACCCGCCTTAACACCTGGTAAACCGTGTACACGACCAATAAACTTTTATACTGATGCTGTGCTCTCTCACACTACCTAGTTGGGCTGTACATTCAAATTGCTAACCGCTCTCTGGCTCTCCCTCACTCTTTGATCAGAGATGATTTAGCATGTAAGTTATCCAATCCCAACTAGCCCTCTGGTGGATCCAGATGTATTAGTGTGTGTAAGCGAGCAGACCCCGTGTGGATACTACTGCTCATTATACCTGAAGGCAGACGGAGGAACCGAGATGGACACACACACACACACACCTCCGGCACACCTAACACAAACTCACAAAAAGAACAGCAGAACCACACACACAGCGACACACATGCCAGCCTGAGAGCCCTGAAGGGACAGCGGCTCTCTGACACACAAAGAGAGACTACTACCAATCCCCTCCCCCCACCCCTGTCCTGTCCCCCAGGGCAGTGAGAGAGAGGAAAATGACTGCTCCACATGTCATCGCAAAAACACAGACACAGACAGAGGGAGGGAGCACCCTTTACAGATGGACATACGGCCAACTGCAAGCCTGTCTGTATGTGTGTGTATGTGAAAGAAAGAAAGAAAGGATTTAACACACACATGTACACCTCTTTTTCCTCACACACGTGCACACATCTCACTCACTCACACACACACACACACACACACACACGAAGCAGGTTGAACACTTTAAACACACTCTCTCTCCCTCAATGACACCATTCCTCCCACAGGCCCAGCCAGCAAAGGAGCTTGAGAAAGAGAGCGAGAGACAGTGATTTAGGGAATAGAGAGAAAAGCAAGAGATTAAAAGGAGAGAGAGAGAGGCATGAGAGGAGAGGTAGTTTGAAGAGAGAGCTGGGTGTATGAAAGACAAATATTCCTAAGAAGAGCATTTGAGAAGTGTTCAGGCAAAGCTATCGTTAAATAAAATCATTGGGAGCAACAAAGACACACACATGGTGCTTTTAAAACATTAGAAAACAACTGTTTCCTGCTAGATCACTCACTTTCTATCCCATACCTTCGTTCTTTACCTCCATTTCTCTTTCTATGACACTCTCACCCTGTCTTTCCCTCTCGCAATCTTACCTGGCAACTCTGTTTCTCCATCTCTCCCTCCATTTCTTCCTTTCTCCCCATCTCCCTTTCTCAATACCTCCCTCTCTCCATCATGCATCTTACCATACTGACTAGCGTACTGTAACATTCTACTGTACTCGATCATGCTGTATATTATCTAAGAGAGAGAGGGAATGAGAGAGGGAATGAGAGAGAGGGAATATTTCCCCTTCTCAGTGTGCGTGTGTTTCCCCCCTTCATATCTCAGCTGTCCTGGAGCTCTTATCAGTCAGCTGGCTTTGCTCTGTCTGCCTCCGAACCGCTTATATCAGCACATGCACAACCGCACGCACACTACCACTCTACAGTACTCTATACACGCTCACATACCAGCGCTCTTATCCTACTCTTATACTATGCACACTCAAACAGACATCCACTTAACTCAGGAAATAAACATTAACCATGTGCAAAGAACATTTGAATTCACAAACACTGCAAACACAATGTAACCAGAATAAAAGCAGGCATCTATGTAACCTCTTTTTGCTCCAAGGCCTCACCTCTCTCTCTCCGTCTCTGCCTCTCACACCTAGAGAAGAAACCCTCCATCTCTCCGTCTCTGCCTCTCACACCTAGAGAAGAAACCCTCCCTCTCTCCGTCTCTGCCTCTCACACCTAGAGAAGAAACCCTCCATCTCTCCGTCTCTGCCTCTCACACCTAGAGAAGAAACCCTCCCTCTCTCAGTCTTTGCCTCTCACACCTAGAGAAGAAACCCTCCCTCTCGTCCATCTATCCCTCTCTCCAGCCCCAGATGGTCAAGTACTGTGACCAATTAAAGACAGCCCCAGGGACAGAGCCAGTTATAGCCTCAGCCATCTGACCACCACTACTGTGTGTGTGTGTGTGTGTGTGTGTGTATCACTGCATGAGAGCTTTCTCTTTTTGCCACTCCCAGGTGGTACTGCTTGCTTTTGGAGGATTTTCAAATGGCCCGTGTGTCTGTAGCAGTGTGTGTGAGAATAACCATGAGTAGGAAAATAAGCCAATCTCCAGAAGAAAGTACAGAGCAGTCGTCTGGTCTGTGAAACAGGGCAAGTCCCTCCTTTTAATCAGATGAAGCCCCATTCACACACAGAGCCATCCAGCCACCCATCCATCAGCTATTTGGAGACACACACCCAGACAGAGACATGGGTGGAAGCAGAGCGTGGTGTCTGGTCAGTGGCCAGTGTGCCTGTGCAGTGGGGAGGGGTGAGGGGTGCTGATTGTGGTGATGGGGGAGGGGAACGTGGGGAGGGGGATAGGGGGGCTGAGGGTTGTGTGTGTCTGTGTGTGAGGAAAGGGGTCTTCAGGGTGGGGATAATGCATGCTGGTGTCTGTGTAGGGGGGGCTGGAATATGCAGTCCCTGGTGTGTGTGTAGGAGGGGCTGGAATATACAGTCCCTGGTGTGTGTGTAGGAGGGGCTGGAATATGCAGTCCTTGGTGTGTGTGTCTGTGTGGGGCGGGGATGTGCTGTCTGGAGCAATCTGGTGCCTCCAGGGAGGAGGGTAGTGTGGGATGGGGGAATACCGGCCTGTGTGTGTGTGTGTGTGTGTGTGTGTGTGTTTGTGTGTGTGTGTGTGTGTATGTACAGTTGAAGTCGGAAGTTTACATACACCTTAGCCAAATACATTTAAACTCAGTTTTTCACAATTCCTGACATTTAATCCTAGTAGACATTCCCTGTCTTAGGTCAGTTAGGATCACCACTTCATTTTAAGAATGTGAAATGTCAGAATAATTTACATTTTACATTTTTGTCATATAGCAGACGCTCTTATCCAGAGCGACTTACAGTTAGTCCATACATTATTATTTGTATTCATTTTTCATACTGGCCCCCCGTGGGAATCGAACCCACAACCCTGCCGTTGCAAACGCCATGCTCTACCAACTGAGCTACATCCATGGCGGCCATTCCCTACCCTGGACGACGCTGGGCCAATTGAGCGCCGCCCAATGGCCATAATTGTAGAGAGAATTATTTATTTCAGCTTTTATTTATTTCATCACATTCCCAGTTGGTCAGAAGTTTACATACACTCAATTAGTATTTGGTAGCATTCCCATTAAATTGTTTAACTTGGGTCAAACGTTTCAGGTAGCCTTCCACAAGCTTCCCGCAATAAGTTGGGTGAATTTTGGCCCATCCCTCCTGACAGAGCTGGTGTAACTGAGTCAGATTTATAGGCCTCCTTGCTCACACACACTTTTTCAGTTCAGCCCACAAATGTTCTATAGGAACATGTTCGGCCATAATGACCATCGTTTTGTTTGGAGGAAAAAGGGGGTGGCTTGCAAGCTGAAGAACACCATCCCAACCGTGAAGCACAGGGGTGGCAGCATCATGCTGTGGGGGTGCTTTGCTGTAGGAGGGACTGGTGCACTTCACAAAATAGATGGCATCATGAGGAAGGAAAATTATGTGGATAAATTGAAGCAACATCTCAAGACATCAGTCAGGAAGTTAAAGCTTGGTCGCAAATGGGTCTTCCAAATGGACAATGACCCCAAGCATACTTCCAAAGTTGTTGCAAAATGGTTTAAGGACAACAATGTCAAGGTATTGGAGTGGCCATCACAAAGCCCTGACCTCAATCCTATAGAACATTTGTGGGCAGAACTGAAAAAGCGTGTGCGAGCAAGGAGGCCTACAAACCTGACTCAGTTACACCAGCTCTGTCAGGAGGAATGGGCCAAAATTCACCCAACTTATTGAGGGAAGCTTGTGGAAGGCTGCCCGAAACGTTTGACCCAAGTTAAACAATTTAAAGGCAATGCTACCAAATACTAATTGAGTGTGTGTAAACTTCTGACCCACTGGGAAAAACTGAGTTTAAATGTATTTGGCTAAGGTGTATGTAAACTTCCGACTTCAACTGTATGTACACCACCGGTCAAAGGTTTTAGAACACCTACTCATTCAAGGGTTTTTCTTTATTTTTACTATTTTCTACATTGTAGAATAATAGTGAAGACATCAAAACTATGAAATAACACATATGAATCATGTAGTAAAAAATAAAGTGTTAAACAAATCAAAATATATCTGAGATTTGAGATTCTTCAAATAGCCACCCTTTGCCTTGATGACAGCTTTGCACACTCTTGGCAGTACCAGTCGAAAGTTTGGACACACCTACTCATTCAAGGGTTTCTCTTCATTTTTACTATTTTCCGGAAAACTTCAAGAACTTTTAAAGTTTCTTCAAGTGCAGTCGCAAAAACCATCAAGTGCTATGATGAAACTGGCTCTCATGAGGACCGCCACAGGAATGGAAGACCCAGAGCTACCTCTGCTGCAGAGGATAAGTTCATTAGAGTTACAGCCCAAATATGATACAAATTACAGACCTCTACATGCTTTGTAAGTAGGAAAACCTGCAAAATCGGCAGTGTATCAAATACTTGCTCTACCCACTGTGTGTGTGTATATATATATATATATACACACACCGTAATTTTCGGACTATAAGCCGCGCCTTTTTTTCCATTTTTCGACCCTGCCGCTTATATAACGGTGCGGCTAATCTATGGATTTTTACAGCTAACGGCCACTAGAAGACCTCCTAAATCTATGGATTTTACAGGTTACAGTCCACCAACTTTAACTCTATGGGCTCTAAGACCGGTCCGCGCCCCCCACCTTTAAGCGGCGGGCTCCAGCAGGAAAAGCTTGAGGCCGGAAAAGAGTGAGACAGGTAGCGCGCAAAAGTAAAAGTGGAACCGAGAGTGGTACGAGAGACAGAACGAGAGCAAGAGAGACAGACATTACGAGAGCGAGACAGTTTGTGCAAAGGAAGTTTTCATGCACAAACCCTCATTATGGAAAACAAACGTAGAAATGCATATGATGCAGCTTTTAAGTTAAAGGCAGTCAATCTGGCCTTGGCATCAATGAGTCAATGGTGAGATGTTGGAGACGCCAGCGGGAAGAACTGTCTCAATGCAAAAAAAGCTTTCAGAGGTAATAAAAGCAGATGGCCCAAACTTGAAGACTTTCTTGAAGATTGGGTGAACACACAGAGAGCAGACGGCCGAGGTGTTTCCACCGTGCAGATCCGACTGAAAGCTGAAACAGTCGCCACCGAAATGAAAATTGAAAATTTTAGAGGTGGACCATCCTGGTGTTTCAGATTTATGAGACGAAAGGGACTGTCCATCAGGGCGCGGACGACTGTGTGTCAGCAACTCCCTCCCGAACACCAGGAAAAAATAACAAACTTCGGCGAATTCACACAAAGAAAGATAGAGGAATATTCCATCGGACCGGACCAGATCATAAATATGGATGAAGTGCCTTTGACGTTTGACCTGCCTCTCACTAGGACTGTTAACAAGAAAGGTGAATCGTCCATCACGTTGAGAACCACTGGCCACGAGAGAACGAATTTCACTTGTGTTCTTGGCTGCACAGCATCTGGATTAAAGCTTCCGCCAATGGTGATTTTTAAGCGGATTACAATGCCAAAAGAAAAGATTCTGAACGGCATCTCCTTTAAAGTCAACAAGAAAGGGTGGATGATGGAAAGCGTAATGAATGAGTGGCTGAATGAGTGCTACGTCAAGCGCCCTGGAGGATTCTTTTGCCAAAAAAAAGCTTTGCTCGTTTTGGACAGCATGAGGGCCCATATAACGGATTATGTGAAAGCAGCCATCAAGAGCACAAACTCGATTCCAGCTGTGATTCCTGGGGGCACAACGAAGCATCTGCAGCCACTCGACATCAGTGTCAATCGTGCGTTCAAAGTGGCACTACGCGTTCAGTGGGAGGCGTGGATGACTAGCGGCGATAAATCATTCACCAAAACTGGTCGCATGCGAAAAGCAACTTTCGCTCAAGTTTGCGAGTGGATCCTGATAGCGTGGAGGAGTGTCAAAACATCCACGATCATTAACGGGTTCCGAAAGGCTGGTCTGCTGCGTGATGAAGAGGAGGACGCCGCCACAGCTGAGGCCCTTCAGAGGCTGTTCGATTCCGACAGTGACGAAGAGGAGTTTGTTGGTTTTGAGAGCGACAACGAAGGAGAGAGGAGAGTGGCTGACGAAGCCACCCTGAGCCTGTTCGTTTCCGACACTGAAGTTGAGGACTTTGGTGGTTTTAGTACGCAGGAAGAAGACGGAGATGAAGATTAATGACTTGACTTTTCTGGTTACAGCCGTGTACTGCACCTTAGCCTAAAAGATGAAGACGAGGATTAATGACTTTTCTGGTAGGCTGATTACCGTATATTTTAAGCAGCCGTGTTGCTGCAACTTTAGGCTTATGCGCTTACTGTCGTGTTACAGGCACTTTATTTTGCACTTTTAAAAAAACACATTTAATTTAGCCATTGATATTGCCTCGTCAAGCGCTGTAAGCTTTGTTTTTTGTTATGGTACTACTGTAGGCTATATTGTAGATAAATATTCAAAGATGTGCACACTTTTTCAAGGTTTTTCAAAAATAACCAAAGTTAAGTGGTTAAATGATTGTGACGCTATTAACTAATTTTGCTGGGGAACCCCTAGCACTCCCTCAAGGACCACTGGTTGAAAACCACTGCTGTAGATCACTGCCGGTATGTGCGCTGGGAGCGCACCGTTTAAGTTTGAAAGTTGAAAAGTTTGTGTGTCTGAAACGCTATGTGATACAGTACAGTTTACATAGCACAGTATATGTTCTGTAGCTACTATTGCACTAAATGGTAACACTTGAATACGTTTTGCAAATATGCAACTTGTTTGTTGAAATGTTAGTAAATGGGAGCTTCCTCAAGCAGCCATCTCTTTCCCGACAATCCCCTCTGTGCACGAACCCTTACATATGGTAATTAAACATTAAAACACCTGCGGCTTATAGTCCAGTGCGGCTTATATATGTACACATCATTCAATTTAGCTGCTGCGGCTTATACTCCGGTGCGCCTTATAGTGCGGAAAATACGACATGCTGCACGTGCATATCTCCGCCACACACACACACACACACACACGTGTGTGTGTATATATATGTGCAGTGGGGAGAACAAGTATTTGATACACTGCTGATTTTGCAGGTTTTCCTACTTACAAAGCATGTAGAGGTCTGTCATTTTTATCATAGGTACACTTCAACTGTGAGAGACGGAATCTAAAACAAAAATCCAGAAAATCACATTGTATGATTTTTAAGTAAGTCATTTGCATTTTATTGCATGACATAAGTATTTGATCACCTACCAACCAGTAAGACTTCCGGCTCTCACAGACCTGTTAGTTTTTCTTTAAGAAGCCCTCCTGTTCTCCACTCATTACCTGTATTAACTGCACCTGTTTGAACTTGTTACCTGTATAAAAGACACCTGTCCACACACTCAATCAAACAGACTCCAACCTCTCCACAATGGCCAAGACCAGAGAGCTGTGTAAGGACATCAGGGATAAAATTGTAGACCTGCACAAGGCTGGGATGGGCTACAGGACAATAGGCAAGCAGCTTGGTGAGAAGGCTACAACTGTTTGGGCAATTATTAGAAAATGGAAGAAGTTCAAGATGACGGTCAATCACCCTCGGTCTGGGGCTCCATGCAAGATCTCACCTCGTGAGGCATCAATGATCATGAGGAAGGTGAGGGATCAGCCCAGAACTACATGGCAGGACCTGGTCAATGACCTGAAGAGAGCTGGGACCACAGTCTCAAAGAAAACCATTAGTAACACACTACGCCTTCATGGATTAAAATCCTGCAGCGCACGCAAGGTCCCCCTGCTCAAGCCAGCGCATGTCCAGGCCTGTCTGAAGTTTGCCTGTCATCTGGATGATCCAGAGGAGGAATGGGAGAAGGTCATGTGGTCTGATGAGACAAAAATAGAGCTTTTTGGTCCACTCGCCGTGTTTGGAGGAAGAAGGAGGATGAGTACAACCCCAAGAACACCATCCCAACCGTGAAGCATGGAGGTGGAAACATCATTCTTTGGGGATGCTTTTCTGCAAAGGGGACATGACGACTGCACCGTATTGAGGGGAGGATGGATGGGGCCATGTATCGCGAGATCTTGGCCAACAACCTCCTTCCCTCAGTAAGAGCATTGAAGATGGGTCGTGGCTGGGTCTTCCAGCATGACAACGACATGAAACACACAGCCAGGGCAACTAAGGAGTGGCTCCGTAAGAAGCATCTCAAGGTCCTGGAGTGGCCTAGCCAGTCTCCAGACCTGAACCCAATAGAAAATCTTTGGAGGGAGCTGAAAGTCCGTATTGCCCAGCGACAGCCCCGAAACCTGAAGGATCTGGAGAAGGTCTGTATGGAGGAGTGGGCCAAAATCCCTGCTGCAGTGTGTGCAAACCTGGTTAAGACCTACAGGAAATGTATGATCTCTGTAATTGCAAACAAAGGTTTCTGTACCAAATATTAAGTTCTGCTTTTCTGATGTATCAAATAATTATGTCATGCAATAAAATGCAAACTAATTACTTAAAAATCATACAATGTGATTTTCTGGATTTTTTTTTTAGATTCCGTCTCTCACAGTTGAAGTGTACCTATGATAAAAATGACAGTCCTCTACATGCTTTGTAAGTAGGAAAACCTGCAAAATCGGCAGTGTATCAAATACTTGTTCTCCCCACTATATGTATGTATGCATGTATGCATGTATGCATGTATGCATGCATGCATACATACATGCATACATGCATACATGCATACATACATATATATACACACACACGTGTGTGTGTGTGTGTGGCGGGGATATGCACGTGCAGTCCAGGGTGAGAGTAGGTTGAACAGAACCACTGGGCACCAGTCCAGCAGGGTAGCAGATAAGAGGAGCAACGGTCTGTCTGAGCTAGAGCCAACACCAGGGGGGCTCACACACAAACTGTCCCCTCCGGCAGAGCTCAACCCTAGCGCGAGGGCACAGGTGGCAGCATATGTCTGCTGTCTGCACCCGCCTGTTCCAAGCGAAAGAGGGAGGGAGGGAGAGTGTGGTGTGTGTGTGTGTGTGTGTGTGTATGTACGTATGCGCTAGCTCACACCGTGGAGATTGAGGACGTAGTCATCTACACAGAGGCCTTCAGAGTGGAATTCTTTCACAGAGGGACATGTTTAGAGAATACTCTGCAGAGCTCCATCAGGCCTTCAGATTTCCTTGCTACTGTGTAGTACCGTGTAGTGTATCTGTGTAGTGTGTTCAGAGTTAGTTTCCCCCCAATTCCACACTGAGGCTCAGACAGACAGCCTGGGGCTTTAGAGCCCACACTGGAATCCATTACAGTAGACATTTGAATTAAATCACAATTTCTCATTCCAAATAATGATGGGCGTATTAGCATGCTAATGTGGTGGGCACGATGTTAATCTCTTTAAACTGATACCAGCACTACCTCCACACACACACACATACACAATGGAACGCAAAGATTTTACTATCTCATCCTGGAATATACAAGGTCGGAGGTCATCTGCTTTTGGCCTAAAGAGCAGGAACCCAGATTTCACAAAATAAAAGAAATACAGACTTTATCATAATGCAATAAACATGGTATAGAGGAGCTGGACCCACTGGTTGCCCACTAGGTTACAGAGAGCTGGTAGTCCCATCCACCAAACTACCAGGTGTTACACAAGGAAGGGACACAGGGGGTATGCTAATTTGGTAAATTAATCAAAACAGGAAACATTTTGCATTTGGCTAGGAATAAAAAAGGAAATAATCTAAACAGAGAAAAATGTCCTCCTGTGTGCCATCTACAGTATATCCCCCCACTAGAATCCCAATACTTTAATGAAGACAGCTTCTCTATCCTAGAGGGGGAGATCAACCATTTCCAGACCCAGGGATGTGTACTAGTCTGTGGTGACCTAAATGCCAGAACTGGACAAGAACCTGACACCCTCAGCACACAGGGGGACAAGCACCTACCTGGAGGTGACAGCATTCCCTCCAAAATATGCCACAACTATCGAGAGCATCCTGACTGGTTGCATCACCGCCTGGTATGGCAACTGCTTGGCCTCCGACCGCAAGGCACTACAGAGGGTAGTGCATACGGCCCAGTACATCAGGCGGTGTCAGAGGAAGGCCCTCAAAATTGTCAAAGACTCCAGCCACCCTAGTCATAGATTGTTCTCTCTGCTACCGCACGACAAGCGTTACCGGAGTGCCAAGTCTAGGTCCAAAAGACTTCTCAACAGCTTCTACCCCCAAGCCATAAGACTCCTGAATAGCTAATCATGGCTACCCAAACTATTTGCACTGCCCCCCCATCCCCACCCCCACCCCATATTTTTACACTGCTGCTACTCTGTTAATTATTTATGCATAGTCACTTTAACTCTACCCACATGTACATATTACTTCAACTACCTCAACTAGCCGGTGCCCCCGCACATTGACTCTGCACCGGTACCCCCCTGTATATATAGCCTCCCTACTGTTATTTAATTTTACTTCTGCTCTTTTTTTCTCAACACTTTTTTGTTGTTTTATCCTACTTTTTTATCAAAAATAATGCACTGTTGGTTAAGGGCTGTAATTAAGCATGTCACTGTAATGTCTGCACCTGTTGTATTCGGCACATGTGGCCAATAAAATTTGATTTGATTTGAACTACGACAAAACAACCGACAAAAATGGGTCACAACTCTTACAGCTCTGTCGCACGCTAGGTCTGTACATAGTCAACGGTAGGCTTCGAGGGGACTCCTATGGTAGGTACACCTACAGCTCATCCATTGGCAGTAGTACTGTAGTCTCTCAGAGCATTCACAGTCAGCCAACTAACACCGCTATCAAAACAAAACAAAATCACAATCTGCTTGAACAGCGCAATACTCAACCATGAGGTATCGAAGCCAAACAAACAGCATGATATTAAGAAATGCTGTAAATGGAATGAAAGTAGTGTAGAAACCTACCAAAAAACTATTGGCCAACAACAAATCCCTCCTAGACAACTTCCAGGACAAAATGTTTCCCTGTAATAGCGACAGTGTAAACTTGCAGTAGGAAGCCTGAACAGTATATTTGACCTATCAGCGAACATATCAAATAAAATAAAAATCTAGCAGAAAACTAACAACAATGACAAATGGTTTCATGAAGAATGCAAAAACCTAAGAAAGAAATTGAGAAACCTATCCAACCAAAAACACAGAGACCCAGAAAACCAGAACCAACGCCTTCCCTATGGTGAAACACTAGAACACTAGAGAAAAAAAAAGAAAAAAAAAAGAAGGAACAGCATGTCAGAAAACAGCTCAATGTGATTGAAGAATCCATAGCATCTAATCACTTCTGTGAAAATTGGAACACACTAAACAAACAACACAAAGAGCTATCTATCCAAAACGGAGATGTATAGATGAAGCACTTTTCCAACCTTTTCGGCCATATAACAAAGAACCAAGAGCAAACACACAGTGCCTTCAGAAAGTATTCACACCCCTTGATCTTTTCCACATTTTGTTGTGTTACAGCCTGAATCTAAAATTGATTAAATTAAGATTCACTGGCCTACACACAATACCTCAGAATGTCAAAGTGGAATTATGTTATTCAAATTGTTTACAAATTAATGAAAAATGAAAAGTACAAAAAGCACTAAAGTAATACTAAAAAGAATGTGGCAAAGCAATTCAATTTTTGTCCTGAACACAAAGTGTTGTGTTCTATTGGATTGGCCCCAAACATATTAGTGAGTACCACTCTCCATATTTTCAAGCATAGTGGTGGCTACATCATGTTATGGGTATGCTTGTAATTGTTAAGGACTGGGGAGTTTTTCAGGATAAAAAATAAATGGAATGGAGCTAAGCACAGGAAAAAACCTAGAGGAAAACCTGGTTCAGTCTGCTTTCCAACAGACACTGGGATCTGTTGTCCCCGGGCTTCTGTGGTCCTCTGTAGCTCAGCTGGTAGAGCACGGCGCTTGTAACGCAAGGTAGTGGGTTCGATCCCCGGGACCACCCATACACAAAAAATGTATGCACGCATGACTAAGTCGCTTTGGATAAAAGCGTCTGCTAAATGGCTTATTATTATATTATCTGAATTCACCTTTCAGCAGGACAATAACCTAAAACACAAGGCCAAATCTACACTGGAGTTGCTTACCAAAAAGGCAGTGAATGTTGCTGAGTGGCCTAGTTACAGTTTTGACTTAAATCTGCTTGAAAATCTATGGCAAGACCTGAAAATGGTTGTCTAGCAATAATCAACAACCAATTTGACAGAGATTAAAGAATTTTGAAAATTATAAATGGGCAAATGTTTCACAATCCAGGTGTGGCAAACTCTTAGAAAGACTCACAGCTGTAATCACTGCCAAAGGTGCTTCTACAAAGTATTGACTCAGGGGTGTGAATACTTATGTAAATGAGATATTTCTGTATTTCATTTCAATAAATGTGCAACAAAACAAATATCCACGTTTTCACTTTGTCATTATGGGGTATTGTGTGTAGATCGGTGAGAAAAAATATATATTTAATCCATTTTGAATTCAGGCTGTAACACAACAAAATGTGGAATAAGTAAAGGGGTATGAATACTTTATGAAGTATATTTGTAGACATGTTACATAACTTTATGAAAACTGAGCTGCACTTCCTTAACTCCTGCCAAAGGTAGGTTACGGTACATTTACTAGTGATGACATATGTAATGGGAAATTGATCAAAATAAACAAATCAAAGAGAAAACAATTCACATGAAACAATGAATGCGCAAGAATTGCCGTAAGACAGCTGAGTGGATTCTGGAGAGCTGAACGCATGCATTCTGGAGAGCTGAGTGGATTCTGGAGACCTGAGCACATGCATTCTGGAGAGAGACGTGCCTATAGGCTATCTTCGCCACACACCCCTCCCTTTCTTCATGTCTCAACATTTTAAATTGTACTCTAGACACATTATCTTCACACATATTTTAGATGCTTTTCACTGACAGCCACAACTCAATAACCAGCCAGGCCTTTCGCCACGCGCTGCCTATTAAAGACTTCCTCATTTCTCTCCTGTTCTATTGGTTTTCATATCAACTTTCTTTCTTTGTCCAGAAGCCAAATGCACAATCCTATAGTCATCTTAGCAACCCATCCTAGCTGTTGCATCTTTAGATTCACTCTTTTTCTAAGTTTCTAACTAAGATTATCATCTCTGTCATATACCGCTCGCATCAGGTGAGCTGTTTATAAATGGTGTTTTCCCTTTTTCCCGCGAATTGCATTTTGGCAAATTTTTGAAAATTACGTTTTATTGGCTGCTTCATTTCAGGAGTTGCATGTTTTGTTAAAATGAATTATCATAATATAAATGTGATTTCTGTCATTCTGAGCACCGTGGGTGGATGCCCTAATGGGTTATACATCCAAGGCATATGTGTCTGGTAAATTTCTCAAATGGGCGGTAAATTAAAAATCTTCCCGGTCACGTTGTCCACATTTTCCTAACGGAAACCCTTGTGTGTGTGTGTGTGTGTGTGTGTGTGTGTGTGTGTGTGGCAGACAGAGCGGGGTTATTAGCAGTTCCTCTGAAAAAGTGGAAATACAAGCACCTTGAATTGTCCCTTTTCTGTCGAGATAAGACTTCAAAGCAACACAATGTCTCACACACGCTCTTAGCTTGTCCCCGGGCTTCAATAATAACTGGGTTCATCCTTGCCTTCGTCTCCTGCCTGTTTTATGAGAACCAGCTTACTAACCTACGCATATGCAGCATTAGCATTCTCCTATTCATATCCATATTCATGTAGCATTCATATTCATGTAGCCTAGCTGCTGCATTGCATTGATCTCACACAAAGAAGAGGCAGCGTACCTCTGAGGGTTAGCACTTAGCTAAGCTAATCTTATCAAAACGGAGGCGCATTGGTGCTTCTTTGGCCCCCCCACACAATGCTAACACGATAAACCCTCTCGCATTAGCCTAGCTCGTTAGTGTGGGCAGCAGCTAACTGCAGCACTCACTCGCGCGTTGACATTTATTCCATTATTGTATGGGTAATAACCAAGATTGTCAGCGTCTGTACTGTGTGTGTGTGTGTGTGTGTGTCGTCTCTTGCTCTCCTTTGAGAGGGATGCTTGTATGTTTTCTCATTCTCTGAGTACTGTGTCTGAACTGTACTGCGATCTCTCCAGCCCTGAGCTAGCAACTCCGACAAACACTGCATGCCATAGCATAAGTGCAAATGAAGGAGAGGCAGGAGACAAGCAGAGGCAGCCACTTCAGAGTACTGAGATGGACCCTATGCCTTGCCTGTCACACTGTGTTCTGTTCAGAGTACTGAGATGGATCCTATGCCTTCCCTGTAACACTGTGTTCTGTTCACTCCCTCTCCTACTTTTCCATCTACCATCTTGTTCCGCTGTGCAGTGGCTGTTCTATTCCTGCTGCTCCAGGTTCTATTCTGTGGTTCCATTGCACGGTTGTGTTCTGTTAGAGACGTCACATAATGTTCTGCGGTGCTGTTCCTGGTTCCACTGGTGCACTCTCACCAGAGTCAGTTACCTTACTGAGAGGACAGCGCCCGGGCTGAGTGTGTGTCTGAGTGGCAGTAATGTTATTGAGCAGGAAGCCCTGTCTCTTGGAGGACATGAGATGGGCATGGAAATGGCAGAGTAGACAGTGATAAAATCTCTCTCCCTCTCTCTTTTTCAGTAAGACCCATGCCCATTCACCAGCTCAGAGAACACACACTCATACACTCACAGTCACACCCAGTGCCAAATAGGAAAGAGAGAAGAGTGGTTGTAAATGAAATAGAGAAAAGGATGATGGTGAGGTCAGAGAAAGAGAGAGAGGGAGACAGTGATAGAGCGATAGAAGGATAGAGGGAAAGAAAGCTAATGCCACTGTGAAGAGGAAGGCCATTGCTCCCAATCAATACCAACAGACAGCAGACTGGATACAGCCTTCCTCTCTCTACCAGTAACTCTCATTCTCTAGCATCCCTCTCTCTTTCTCACTCTCTAGCCATCCCTCTCTCTTTCTCACTCTCTAGCCATCCCCCTCTCTTTCTCACTCTCTAGCATCCCTCTCTCTTTCTCACTCTCTAGCATCCCTCTCTCTTTCTCACTCTCTAGCATCCCTCTCTCTTTCTCACTCTCTAGCATCCCTCCCTCTTTCTCACTCTCTAGCCATCCCCCTCTCTTTCTCACTCTCTAGCCATCCCTCTCTCACTCTCTAGCATACCTCTCTCTTTCTCACTCTCTAATCATCCCCCTCTCTTTCTCACTCTCTATCCATCCCCCTCTCTTTCTCACTCTCTAGCATCCCTCTCTTTCTCACTCTCTAGCCACCCCGCCTCTTTCTCACTCTCTAGCCATCCCTCTCTTTCTCACTCTCTAGCCATCCCTCTCTCTTTCTTACTCTCTAGCATCCCTCTCTTTTCTCACTCTCTAGCCATCCCCCTCTCTTTCTCACTCTAGCATCCCCCTCTCTTTCTCACTGTCTAGCATCCCTCTCTCTTTCTCACTCTCTAGCATCCCTCTCTCTTTCTCACTCTCTAGCATCCCTCTATCTTTCTCACTCTCTAGCCATCCCCCTCTCTAGCATTCCTCTCTCTTTCTCACTCTCTCACTCTCCACCCACCCACCTCACTTTCTCACTCTCTAGCCATCCCCCTCTCTTTCTCATTCTCATTCTCTAGCCATCCCCCTCTCTTTCTCATTCTCTAGCCATCCCTCTCTCTCTCACTCTCTAGCCATTCCCCTCTCTTTCTCACTCTCTAGCCATCCCCCTCTCTTTCTCACTCTCTAGCCATCCCCCTCTCTTTCTCACTCGCTAGCCATCCCCCTCTCTTTCTCACTCTAGCCATCCCTCTCTCTTTCTCACTCTCTAGCATCCCTCTCTCTTTCTCACTCTAAAGCCATCCCCCTCTCTTTCTCACTCTCTAGCCATCCATCTATCTTACTCACTCTCTAGCCATCCCTCTCTCACTCTAGCATCCCTCTCTCTTTCTCACTCTCTAGCCATCCCTCTCTCACTCTCTAGCATACCTCTCTCTTTCTCACTCTCTAATCATCCCCCTCTTCTTTCTCTCACTCTCTATCCATCCCCCTCTCTTTCTCACTCTCTAGCATCCTCTCTTTCTCACTCTCTAGCCACCCCGCCTCTTTCTCACTCTCTAGCCATCCCTCTCTTTCTCACTCTCTAGCCATCCCTCTCTCTTTCTTACTCTCTAGCATCCCTCTCTTTTTCTCACTCTCTAGCCATCCCCCTCTCTTTCTCACTCTAGCATCCCCCTCTCTTTCTCGCTCTCTAGCATCCCTCTCTCTTTCTCACTCTCTAGCCATCCCCCCCTCTCTTTCTTCTCTCACTCTCTAGCATCCCTCTCTCTTTCCTCACTCTCTAGCATCCGATCCTCTATCTTTCTCACTCTCTAGCCATCCCCCTCTCTAGCATTCCTCTCTCTTTCTCACTCTCTCACTCTCCAGCCACCCACCTCACTTTCTCACTCTCTAGCCATCCCCCTCTCTTTCTCATTCTCATTCTCTAGCCACCCCCTGCTCTTTCTCATTCTCTAGCATCCCTCTCTCTTTCTCACTCTCTAGCATCCCTCTATCTTTCTCACTCTCTAGCCATCCCCCTCTCTAGCATTCCTCTCTCTTTCTCACTCTCTCACTCTCCAGCCACCCACCTCACTTTCTCACTCCTACCATCCCCCTCTCTTTCTCATTCTCATTCTCTAGCCATCCCCCTCTCTTTCTCATTCTCTAGCCATCCCTCTCTCTCTCACTCTCTAGCCATTCCCCTCTCTTTCTCACTCGCTAGCCATCCCCCTCTCTTTCTCACTCATACATCCCTCTCTCTTTCTCACTCTCTAGCATCCCTCTCTGTTTCTCACTCTAAAGCCATCGCCCTCTCTTTCTCACTCTCTAGCCATCCCTCTATCTTACTCTCACTCTCTAGCCATCCCTCTCTCACTCTAGCATCCCTCTCTCTTTTTCACTCTCTAGCCATCCCTATCTCTTTCTCACTCTCTAGCCATCCCCCTCTCTTTCTCACTCTCTAGCCATCCCTCTCTCTTTCTCACTGTCTAGCCATCCCTCTCTCTTTCTCACTTTCTAGCATCCCTCTCTCTTTATCACTCTCTAGCCGTCCCCCCTCTTTCTCACTCTCTAGCATCCCTCTCTCTTTCTCACACTCTAGCCATCCCCCTCTCTTTCTCACTCGCTAGCCATCCCCCTGTCTCTCACTCGCTAGCATCCCTCTCTCATTCTCACTCTTTAGCCATCCCTCTCTCTTTCTCACTCTCTAGCATCCCTCACTCACTCTCAAGCCATCCCTCTCTTTCTCACTCTCTAGCCACCCCCCTCTCTTTCTCACTCTCTAGCCATCCCCCTCTCTTTCTCACTCTCTAGCATCCCTCACTCACTCTCAAGCCATCCCTCTCTTTCTCACACTCTAGCATCCCTCTCTCTTTCTCACTCTCTAGCCATCCCCCTCTCTTTCTCACTCGCTAGCCATCCCCCTGTCTCTCACTCGCTAGCATCCCTCTCTCATTACATTTACATTTACATTTTAATCATTTAGCAGACGCTCTTATCCAGAGCGACTTACAGTTAGTGAATAATTTTATTTATTTTTTTTATTTATTTTTTTATACTGGCCCCCCGTGGGAATCGAACCCACAACCCTGGCGTTGCAAACGCCATGCCCTATCAACTGAGCTACATCCCTGCCGGCCATTCCCTCCCCATACCCTGAACGACGCTGGGCCAATTGGTGCGCCGCCCATGAGTCTCCCCGGTCGCGGCCGGCTACGACAGAGCCTGGATTCGAACCAGGATCTCTAGTGGCACAGTTAGCACTGCGATGCAGTGCTCTTTCTCACTCTCTAGCATCCCTCACTCACTCTCTAGCCATCCCTCTCTTTCTCACTCTCTAGCCACCCCCCTCTCTTTCTCACTCTCTAGCTATCCCCCTCTCTTTCTCACTCTCTAGCATCCCCCTCTCTTTCTCACTATCTAGCCATCCCTGTGTATTTCACTCTCTAGCCATCCCTCTCTTTCTCACTCTCTAGCCATCCCCCTCTCTTTCTCACTCTCTAGCATCCCTCTATCTTTCTCACTCTCTAGCCCTTCACTCACTCTCAAGCCATCCCTCTCTTTCTCACTCTCTAGCCACCCCCCCTCTCTTCTCACTCTCTAGCCATCCCCCTCTCTTTCTCACTCTCTAGCATCCCTCACTCACTCTCAAAGCCATCCCTCTCTTTCTCACACCTAGCAATCCCCTCTCTTCTCACTCTCCTAAGCCATCCCCCTCCTCTTTCCTCACTTCGCTAAAGCCATCTCCCCCCTGTCTCCTCACGTCGCTAGCATCCCTCTCTCATTCTCACTCTTTTAGCCATCCCTCTCTCTTATCTCACTCTCTACATCCCTCACTCATCTCTAGCCATCCCCTCTCTTTCTCCACTCTCTAGCCACCCCCACCCCCCCCCCTCTTCTGTCTCCTCTCTAGCCACCCTCTCATCTTTCGCACACTCTAGCAGCCCTCCTCTCATCTCACTCTCTTAAGCCCTCCCCCCTCTCTTTCTCCGCAGCTAGCCATCCTCCCTCTCTTTCTCAATCGCTAGCATCCCTCTCTCATTCTCACTCTTTAGCCATCCCTCTCTCTTTCTCCCTCTCTAGCAATCCCTCTCTTTCTCACTCTCTAATCCATCCACCTCTCTTTCTCACTCTCTATCTACCCCCTCTGCTTTTCTCTCACTCCCTAGCTCCCTCTCTCTTTCTCACTTTCTCACTCCCTACATCCCCCTCTCTTTCTCACTATCTAAGCCTCCCTGTCTATTTCACCTCTCTAGCCATCCCTCTCATTTCTCACTCTCTACCATCCCCCCTCTCTTTCTCACTCTCTAGCATCCCTCTCTCTTTCTCAGCTCTCTAGCCATCCCTCTCTCTTTCCTCACGTCTCTAGCCATCCCCCTCACTTTTCTCACTATCCCATCGTCCCTCTTTCTCACTCTCTAAGCCATCTTCCTCCTATCTTTCTCACTCTCTAGGATCCTCTCTCACTCTAGCCACCCTCCTTTCTCATTCTCTAGCCATCCCTCTCTCTTCTCACCTCGAGCCATCCCTCTCTCACTCTAGCACCCCTCTCTCTTCTCCTCCTCTAGCCATCCCTCTCTTTTCCCCCCTCTCTCTTTCTCACTCTCTAGCCATCCCCTCTCTTCTCACTCTAGCCGATCTCCCTCTCCTCTTTCTCACTTCTGCCATCCCCCCTCTTTCCTCACGCTCTAGCAGCCCCGCTCTCTTTCTCCACCTCTAGCATCCCTCTCGCGTTCTCACTCCTAAGCCATCCCCCTCTCTTTCCTCTCTTTCTCACTCGCTAGCCTCCCGCCTTTCTCACACTCGCTAGCCATCCCTCTCTCTTTCTCACTTCTAAGCAATCCCTCTCTCTTTTCTCTCAAATCTCTAAGCATCACGCTCTCCTTCCCCACTCTTTAGCCATCCCTCTCTCTTTCTCACGCTCTAGCCTCCCATCACTCACTCACTCCTCTTAGGCCATTCCCTCTCTTTCTCACTCTCTAATCCACCCCCCTTCTTTCTCACTCTCTAGCCTCCCCCTCTCGTTCCACTTCTCTTAGCATCCCT